GACATGAGTCAGCCAAGTCAGCGAGCCTGACCACCCGATCCCGTTAGTGGCCTCTTACGACAAGCATAGTCGCCTTTTGTGGCAAGCATGGGTTGCTGAAGACCTATTCTACCCCGGATCTTCACGGGTTTTAAGTCATGTGGTTTCCGAAAGACATTCGACCAGTTCCAACTGACTCATGGAATTTGCAGAGAAACACAAATAACAGAAACAACTGTGTATATTGTAGTTATGCAATTATCGGCAGGTTAAACTGAAATGTTCCAGATGTTCTGTTAACAATCGATTCCAGCATTTGAGTTTCGTACATAAACAAAACATGCCATAGACAGGTGAGTGAGTGAGTGAGTTTACTTTAACGTCGCTTTTAGCAATATTCCCGCGGGGAACATCAGATATGGGCTTTACACAATGTACCAACATGTGGGGAATCGAACCCGGGTCTTCGGTGTGACGAGCGAACGCTTTAACCACAAGGCCCCCATCATGGGGTAGATAACATGATGGAGTGATTTAGATTTAAAAATCTGTAATTTTATTCGTCTCGTTTCAAATTCCTTTGTAGATCGTGCAAAGCTTTCGTATATATAAAGTTCTTTTTTTTAAAGTTAAATGAACGTTATACTGAATATCAAACAAAATGATTAATTTTATTAATTCATTGTGACCGATTTGAGGACAACATGCTGGAAACGCATGTCAACTGTACAGGAATATAGTTTAGACGATTTATTAATCAAAATTAACAAAATATAACATCGTTATCTGTGCTCTTGCAATGGAAACAAACTTTAATTTATGTTCCTAAATATACCAAAATTACTTACCCTAAAATTCTGTAAAGCTCTCCAAAGTCCTAAGCTGAAAACACACGCTTGTCACATTACACGAAGTTTTGCACTCTGTGTTTCCTTCCAGACACTAGCTCCTTGGGCAATTCTTCACAGATAATTACTGTTATTTAAACACTCTTTACTGTATCACATTTCCCAGACAAACAAAGGTTGGCGTGATTACAGAGACGAAATTCTTCAATTTTCATACCGCAGTGTAGCGGTCATTCTTGGCGAAGCCTGTCAAAGTCGGTGACTTTCAGGAAGGAAATAGCTGGTAACAATGCCTTTAATTGTTGCCACTGCAAGCATCATGGACTGTAATGATCTGGAGCACTGGTGTCTAGTCTAGCGTAAGCTTGTGATTTGGTCTCAGATTACGAAAGCCGTTTAACTGTTTTCCTTCATTGACTTGGCGCGGTGTCCGAGAATATATATATATAGTCACTGAAGGCTTTGTATGGGTTTGTCTAACGTTGACGTTTAGTATCAGAAATAAATTTGTTTTTTTTTAAAATATAAAAAGATATATTTGTCAAAACAAATCCAAATGCAGCCCAGAGCAATCATTAATTTCCTGGAGCTGAGGCAATCTAGACTTGCCAAATCAACCTAGACTTGTGTGAGACTCCTATTTAATTAACTCCTTATGGTTTGTCAAACAGAGTATAGTGTTTGTCTTAGCACACGAAACGGGTTTTTTATTTGTTAGATAGTTAACACGTAGATTTGTACACCGCTTATTCCATCTGAAACTAAAGAAAATTGTTTTCACATAGAGCATCCGTGTTGAGAACTGAACCCGGGCTTTAGTCGTGCTAGCGAATGCTTTAACCATTAGACTATCGTACCTGGCTTTGGTGAACGTACCTGCGTTGCAATGGTTTGTGACAAACGTTTGTGCTTAAATAGTTTGAAATAAATCTTAAACAAACGTTGACATGGACTGTCTCCACTATTATCCTAACACAACTGCGTAGATCGATGCTCATGCTGTTGATCACTGGATTGTCTGTCCAGACTCCATTATTTACCGACCGCCGCAATATAGCTGGAATATTGCTAAGGGCAACGTTAAACAACAAACAAACAAACAAACCTTATTCTAACAGATACATACGTGGTCTCGTCGCTAAATGGCTGAAACAATGATGATACCTCGTGACACTTAAACTCAACACAACTCAAATGACAGATTGTCTCCCCTCTCTATATCGCGTGCGTCACTTAGTGTTATACCACGTATATATGACGCATATTTACTCAACGCTCGATTCCCATGTTGTCTCACACATCAGTTCAAAAACACCACATTTACCAGTGACGTGTTTGACTTACATGGGCGGTGGGGTAGCCTGGTGGTTAAAGCGTTCGCTCGTCACGCCGAAGACCAGGGTTCGGTACAATGTGTGAAGCCCATTTCTGGTGTCCCCCTGCCGTGATATTGCGGGAATATTGCTAAAAGCGGCGTAAAATCATACTCACTCACTTTGACCTACGTTACTTCCGGCGGAAGTTCCGAGTGATTGGGTGGTCATTCTCCATGACGTTGTTGATGCATGTCATCGTGTCCCAGTTGCGTAGACCGATGCTCATGATATCAATCACTAGATTGCCATGTGTACATTCGACGATTTACTGACGGAATGTTGCTGGATGCGGCATTTTAGAACATTCAATGAAATCCCACATCAAACCGACACGTCTTAAACTATATATAAACACTGTTGAAAGCGGCGTTGCCGTTAAACCCAACTCACTCAGTCACTTAATCACTTCAATTTTCTATATTGGTTGAAGTATGAAAATCTATGTGCATTTTTTTTTAAATGTATTTAAAGAAATAATTTTATATTTACATTGCAAGATGTTTTGAAGGACCTATAAAAGACTACAGATAATCAAATCTAAAGGGCCCTTAATTAAAATATCCATCTCCACTGAAGATAAAATTTCAAACAAGACTTCAATGTTCGCGACAAACATCTAAAACAGATGTTATCATTTTCAGCCCATACAGCTGATACAGTTGCTACTACCACGTACAGTCCGTTTGATTTCATTTGAGACCGATGAATTGCTCACTAACACAAAATCTAATAATTCCAACAAAACCAAATTTGGCACAGTCACATGAAATCGACAGACCAACTGTGATGATTTGTCTAATAATTTTGGACACCCGAATAAAAATGTTGTTTAACAAACGATAATTATTTTGTTGTCACTTTTCGCTATCTCTCACGGGGGGGGCACTTTGCACAGGTGTGCGAGTTGCACGTATGAAATTGAAAATTTCACTACAGACGCTTGTTGATTACCTGGCTGTCCTACCAGCAAGTGGTCCCCCCCAAAATTGTGTTTGGGCTTTGTTGCAATTATTAGATCTTGTGTTAGTGAGCAATTCATCGGTCTCAAATGAAACCAAACGGACTATACGAAGCTGCGCTCCTTTCCCATTGACCGCTGATTGACTGCTTACACACTCTTCTTAACGCCTATTTAGCAGGCTCTTGTGGACTTTTGAGTGTCCTTAAGTCAAGGCAGTTCAAAATAATAATGTTACATCTCAGCAACCATGTTAGCCATATCCCAATGAAGTCTGTGGTATCAGCAATAACTCTGATCGTGAAAAGCGGTGATCATCAAGCCGTTACCAAACCTGAACCGACACTGACTAACACTGCAAAGACATGACTTATTACATAGAGATGTGATTAAGTATAACATCTTCTTGGCCAACACGGGGAAATGTTGAATTTGGCTCTGGTTCTGGTCATATCTCATTGATCACACGCGCTATTACAGAGCCAGGGTTGAGTGAGTGAGTTTAGTTTTGCGCCGCCTTCAGCAATATTCCAGCAGTATCACGGCAGGGCACACAAGAAATGGGCTACCCATGTAGGGAATCGAAACCGGGCCTTCGCCGTGACGAACGAACGCTTTAGCCACTAGGCTACCCCACCTCCCCCACCAAACCTTAACCGACACGGACCAACACTGCACAGACATGAATATTTACATAGGGATGTGATTAAGTATAACATAGATCTTCTTGACCGACACGGGGAAATGTTGAATTTGGATCCGGTTCTGGTCGTATTCCATTCATCACAAGCGCTATATTACAATAGGTGACACCAGAAATGGGCTTCATACATTGTACCCATGTGGGGAATCGAACCCCGGTCTTCGGCGTGACTATGGGTTTCACACATTGTATCCATGTGGGAAATCGAACCCGATTCTTTGGCGTGACGAGCGAACGCTTAAACTACTAGGCTACCATATTACCCAAAGAGACGTTAAAAGATGGTACATGTACTTGTTGTTACCCTGTCTTGCGTTCGGTGCTATACAATAAAACAAGGACATGCGGACTCGGAGTGAGCATTCTGCGTATCTGTTGGAATATTCATCTTAAACTGAGACATATTACATCAACGGATGGCAACATAATACAACTGGCATTAGACTTCTCAAGCTCAAGCAGCACTCGGTTCTATTGGTGTAGTGAAGTTTAAGAACTGGAATCTCTTATTAAAGAAATCTTACCATAATTTAGCAATCGTGCCTTTATAAGAATGAATGAATTATTGATTTAAGACGCATCTGAAGCCTTGCCTCTATTCGATGCAAGAAATCGAAGCAATTACACATACTTATTATGTACTTACAAAATATAAACCGGATAATAGCTGCTTTTATCCCTAGAAATCTTTATTGTACAGCCTACTTAGTTATAAGGAATAAAATTCTAGATAAATATTTGAAACATCCTCCATCACAACACAGTTTTGTTAATATAATGTCTTCAACAAATAAATATCTTATAAATAATTTATGCCTATTTTTATATATTGTTAGGAAAATAAAAACGTCTGATGTGTTTCTGTCAAACTCATGCAAAATATATATTTATGAATGTATTTTGGACCAGCGGCCTTTTACTGAATAAAATGTCTGTCTGTCTGTCAGAAATCTTTAGAAAGGTATGAAATCATAATATATGTCCATATAAAAACATCTTTCTATTGAATATGTTAGCAACATTTGTAAATACATCCACAGTCAGCTGTTGCTGATAACATACTAGTATTACAAAAACACGTATACTAGTAGTCCCAAGAAAACATGAAATAAGAGTTACCTCCCTTACTAGCTTAACAGGGGAGGTAAGTCAATACAGATCATTAAACAGTAAGCGGCATTGTCCCAGTTTAACAGACACAAAAACCAACAGAGATGGAGAATCCAGCAGTGACAGTTTTCAGAAATTACCTGAGGATAAAGTCTGTGCAGCCAGATGTTGATTACAGTAAGTATCCGCCTGTCTTCCCTTGCACTACACGTGTTTACGTTTAAAGAAAATGTGCAAGCGAGCACATGCCCCGCGTAAGCCACGCCCACTTTATTGAAAGCCTCCGAGTGCCTATACAAGTCATTCATCTATGCAGGTACACGTCTTTGTGCCGAGTCCTAGTTTTCTGTACTTTACCCTTGACCTAGAATCAAGTACAGACAAGGCTTGCTCCTGTTGAGTCTATGTAAATAATAATTGCTCATGAAATCTAATCTGGTTGAGCAGAGACAATACATGTATCTGTATATACATGGGCTCAGTGCTGAAGAACAGGGATTCATAAGTCGGGATCTATGGATCAATAAAATGTGTTTATATTTGTACAGGTGCGAATCTCTGTAGTTGATGTCAAAACATCCAATCCACTGGACCAAGCTGTGAAACAACTCACACTGAACTCCCAAAGAATTAAACTGACATCACATTTACTTTAACTTTAAGAGTAATTTGAGACATTATTTTTAATTTGTCATGTAATCAGAACAATAAACGCTAAACATCTATATTAAATACCTAAGCTTTATTCCTTATTATGTTAAATCCCAAATGGCCCTTGGCAATCAATATAGTGACAGTTGAAACATTATACATAAGACAAAAAAATTGTATGAAGAAAAAAATTATCCTTCTTCAATGTTAATGCAATGTTTTTTCTATTAAAGGCACCATTCATAAGTAATGGCTACAATGTGTGAAGACCATTTCTGGTGATATTGCTGGAATATTGCTAAAAGCGACGTAACTCACTCACTCATTCATTAGTTATGGCTAGCGGGGAATTTTAAGTGGGAGTCACCCATTTTGTTCTGGGGAGGGGGTCATCAACTTTGTACACATGTACTTGAGGGTGTCATTGATTTTGTACATCACATGCGTTGTTGTTTTTTGGGGTGTTTTTTTGGGTGGTGGGGGGGGGGGTTTGTTGGTAATTCACATTGTACATGCTTCTCAGTAAAATCATCATGACACCACCAAGTCATTGATAATGAATGGCCCTAAACCCACTTCACTGATTGCTCTCTTACTCAAGAGCTCACCCATGAGCATACAATAAATCAGGAGTAATGAAAGTAACTTAAATGGTTTCGTGAATTTCCAATATGTTCTGGCCCCTCAACCTGTTATGAATTTGGTCACTAATGATTTTGACTGCACCCCTTTAATCCGCCGACATTTCATGTTATGGATGTGAGTGAGTGAGTGATTTAGTTTTAGGCTACTTTTAGCAATATTCCTGCAATATCACGGTGGGGGACACAGTTTGTCTTCACACATTGTACCAATGTGGGGAATCGAACCTGGGTGTTCGTAGTGATGAGCGAACACTTTAACCGCGAGGCTATCCCACCACCCCAGTTATGAATGTATTAGGCACATTCTTGTTGAAAGAGAGGGGAGCAGGACAAAAGCCACCCAGACAAATGCCACCTGGACAAAAGCCACCCGGACAAAAGCCACCTAGGACAAATGCCACCTAGGACAAAAGCCACCCAGTTATTTTACCATTACAGAGAGGACAATTACCACCCTTCTTGACTTTAATGTTGATTTTGTTGTAAAATTATGTAGACTTTGATAAATAATTTGGTTTCTAATAAACAAATATTCACTTTGAAAAAATGTTGATTTTGATGTAAAGTTATGTAGACTTCGATGAATAATTTGGTTTCTTAAAGAAAATATTCATTTTGATTTCATAGTAATGTTGACTTTTTAAAAATGTTAACGTAAATGGATGTAAAATTTGTCCTAGTCCCGAAAGAGAGCAATATTCCACGTATGTCAGGGTGGTTTGTAAATATTTGAGTCTGCACCAGACAATCATGTGATTAACATCATGAGCATCGACCTACACAAATGGCATACAATGACATATGGCAACAAAGTCAGTATGCCTGACCCCCGGATCCCGTGATTTGTAGTTAGGTCCATTTGAATTTGTTTTATTGAAAACAGAAGTGATGAGGGAGGAATATTTTATGCAATATTATTAAGGCTGTTATGATTCACTTGCGTACTCTGTGAATCAAACTGTATCCCTTCATGAATTCAATTCATTATTTGTTATCACTTGAATCAAATTTTCATGAATTTTATAAAGCAGTGTTTTTCTTGAAGTTGGGTGTTGAGACATGTAGAAAGGAATACATCTAAGACAGGCAGGAGAATAGTCAACACTCCTATATATCTACATTGACTACACGTGATCACTGGTCATTCATATCCCAGCTAACACAAAAATGTTATAAAAACATCCCAAAAACATTTTGTGAAATGTTTCAGAAACATTTTTCTGGTCCAGACTCGATTATTTACAGACCAATGCCATATAGCTGGAATATTGCTGAGTGTGTCGTAAAACTAAACTCACTCACTCACGTAATATGTCGACATAGTTTTGATACTGTTTCGTTAGGCCAGACCAATTTGATTTCTTGTTTTACAGATTTTTATCCTTAGAAAACCTAAAGACAGGAGGGAAAAGAATAAAAATAAAATCACCAATCAAAATAATATTCCTTCTAAATACTAACAGTAGTTTACTTTTGGCAATTTATGAAGTGTATATGTGGCAAAATACAATTTAAAAAACATTTTCTCGGAAGCCAATAAAAACATTAGGATTTTATTTTTTGAGTGGGAAATTTTTAAAAATTTTTTCTTATTCTTGAAAAATTACGACCGGCGGATCTGTAAAACAAGAAATAAAATTGGTATGGCCTTATGAATAAGGAAAACTACATCTGCTGCTGACTTATGGTAATCGTTATTCTATCATCTCACACCCTAGTTATGATATATCTTTCCTACCATAAACTTCCAGTAGACATTGAGACACACTCTGAACTTTGGGGCGGTGGGGTAGCCTGATGGTTAAAGCGTTCATTCGTCACGCCGAAGACCCGGGTTCAATTCCCCACATAGGTACAATGTGTGAAGCTAATTTCTGGTGTCCCCCGCCGTGATATTGCTGGAATATTGCTAAAAGCGGCGTAAAACCAAACTCACTCACTCACTCACACTGAACTTTACCCCTAGTATTAATGTGAGTTGTCAATCAGAGTCATTCCTGTTTTCTTGTCACTTAGTTTTAATAACAGGTGATATAGCAATCACTGTGTCTATCTGTCGATCCATCTGTCTGACATGTTTCTGTGTTACTCTATTCTGGCACAGAACTTGAAACCATTGAATATTGTTTACAAAACTTGAAACCATTGAATATTGTTTACAGAACTTGAAACCATTGAATATTGTTTACAAAACTTGAAACCATTGAATATTGTTTACAAAACTTGAAATCATTGAATGTAGTTTACAAATCTTGAAACCATTGAATATTGTTTACAAAACTTGAAACCACTGAATATTGTTTACATTGAATATTGTTTACAAAATTTGAAACTACTGAATATTGTTTACAAAATTTGAAACCACTGAATATTGTTTACAAAACTTGAAACCATTGAATATTATTTGCAAAACTTGAAACCGCTGAATATTGTTTACTAAACTTGAAACCACTGAATATTGTTTACAAACTTGAAACTACTGAATATTGTTTTCAAAACTTGAAACCACTGAATATTGTTTACAAAACTTGAAACCGTTAAATACTGTTTACAAAACTTGAAACCACTGAATATTGTTTACAAAACTTTAAACCGTTAAATATTGTTTACAAAACTTGAAACCATTGCATATTGTTTACAAAACTTGAAACCATTGCATATTGTTTACAAAACTTGAAACCATTGAATATTGTTTACAAAACTTGAAACCGTTAAATATTGTTTACAAAACTTGAAACCATTGAATATTGTTTACAAAACTTGAAACCATTGAATATTGTTTACAAAACTTGACATGCAGATCATTCAATTAGTGAACAAGTGACTTTTATGGATTTTGGACTTTTTCATTACGAGTGGTGGTCCAATTAATTGAAACAATCGAAGATTGGTCGCAATGACTAAACAACCAAGTAATCGATCATGTTTTCTCATAATGGAACTCAAACAATTTTCTTAACACTTGTTTGCGCTAACAATATTTTTCACAAGGTTGGTTTTGTCTGTTACATGTCATAAGCGCTACAAGCTCAATCCAAGTCATGACTGAATTTATCTCAAAAGACTTCAGGAAGTTTATGTTCCTAGCATACTAGTCATCTTATAAAGATGTGAAATTTGCAAATGCAAATATTTTTGGGCATTAACAAACATAACCAGGAAAATTTGATAAATGATGCTAACCAGTTATTTTGGATGATTGGTTGGTTTCATGACACAAATTTGTCTTCATTAAAAATGAGTGAGTGAGTGAGTTTATTCACGCCACACTCAGCATTATTCCAGCTATATGGCGGCGGTCTGTAAATAATTGAGTCTGGACCAGACAATCCAGTGATGAGCATCGATTTGCGCAATTGGGGACAGATGACATGGGTCAACCAAGTCAGCAAGCCTGACCACCCGATCCCGTTAGTCGCCTCTTACGACAAGCATGGGTTACTGAAGATCAATATTCTAACCCGGACCTTCACGGGCACATTAAAAATGAGGGTCGCAATGAGGGTAGCGCTCATTGGTCAGTTTGTAACTTGTTATGTTCTTATGACTTTTGTCGTACTGAGAATAAATATTTCTGAGGATTTAAAGTTATGTGCAAGTGCCTTAGGATTCTCTCTTGTTTTGTTTCAGCATTACAATTTCCACTCAGAAATGCTCTGAATGTATTGTCTAACAACTCTTGCAGGTGAGACAACAGCTTTTCTGTCAGATCTAGCAAAGGATATTGGCCTGGAATGCAAAGTTGTAGAGGTCAGTTTAAATAATCCCTAGAAAACTGAAAGTCAAAGAACATCTGTTTGTATGTTTGTACAGTGCACCCTGGTTATAATGCCCCTGGTTATAATGCCACCCTGGATATAATGCCCCTGGATATAATGCCCCAGGTTATAATGCCACCCTGGATATAATGCCCCTGGTTATAATGCCACCCTGGATATGCCACCCTGGTTATAATGCCACCCTAGATATAATGCCCCTGGTTATAATGCCACCCTGGATATAATGCCCCTGGTTATAATGCCACCCTGGATATAATGCCCCTGGATATAATGCCCCTGGTTATAATGCCACCCTGGATATAATGCCCCTGGTTATAATACCACCCTGGATATAATGCCCCTGGTTATAATGCCACTCTGGATATAATGCCATGTTTTTGCCAGAACGATTTCCTGCCTGTATAATACCCTGGTTATCATGCCAAACTGGATATAATGCCATTTGCCAATGGTTTTTGGAACAAAAAGTCATTTTTACCAATTACACTGGCTGCATGTAGTATACATACCTAATTGGTTAATTGACATGACCCAAATTAATTGACCAAACTCATTAATGCTTTAAGAAGTTTTGTAATCTCACCTTGACATCTTGACACTGGGATTATCCAGTCATTCAAGGCTCATTACAGGAGACATCAGCTCAAACACCTTGTTGATTGCATAGGGCCTCTAACTGTCCTACCTGTTTATAATGCCACCCTGGATATAATGCCAGATTTTCTCCTGGACAAACGATGGCATTATAACAAGGGTTTACTGTATTATGAATAGTGGGTTTCCAGGTCAGAAGAGACAAACAAAGCAGGAGACTCTATCCAATGAACCAATACCCACGTCTACAGCAATCGAGCAATAGCTTTGTCTTCATAGTTCTAGGACAATAGGTGTTTTAGAAGAAGGGACAATTTCTGATTTATCAATAGCCTTGGTCTGAGACTATGTAATGCTCCGTCAAGTTCCATATTGTGGAAAAATGTGTTTAACACATTGGCAAACTGGGTTCCCTGCAGATATTTCTGTAGGATGTTATTTGTGATTTCGCCATTGCTTGTTACAGAATTCATCATGACTCTGAAGAAGCTTATAGATCAGTAAGATCATTGATAGTAGAAGTGAGCTGGACAAACAAGTAGATAATGTCCAATAACAAGTACTTCCACCATCTACACCCTTGATGGTAGCGAGTAATTAGACAATCATTTAGCAAGTAATCAGACCATCTAGACCAATTAGACAATCTAGTAGCAAGTAATCAGAACTGGACCCTTAATGGTCATGAGTAATCAGACAATCTAGACCTTAGAAGGTAGCAGGTAATTAGACAATCTAGGCCTTAGAAGGTAGCAAGTAATTAGACAATCTAGACCTTAGAAGGTAGCAACGAATTAGACAATCCAGGATTTAGAAAGTAGCAATGGATTAGACAATCTAGACTGTACAAGGTGACAGGTAATTTGATCACCAAGACCCATGGCAGAAGACAGTTATTAGACAATGAATAACTTTGGTGGTACCAATCAAGCAAGATTTTGCTTCAGGTAAAATTGTATTTTATGTTTGCTTGATTGATGTACTGGATATCCTGCAGGTAATGTGACAATGAAAATGATACATGATAAACTACAGTGAGGCAGGAGAGCTATGTGAGTTGATTGATGTATGTTTGTCCTGTAACTATATTACTTCACTGTGCAGGTTCTGCCAGGCAAGCCGTTTGTGGTGATGACATGGAGGGGGACGGAGCCCAGTCTGAAGGCCCTGATGCTTCACTCCCACGTGGACGTGGTGCCGGTCTTCCCTGTGAGTCATGGGGAAATCATTCATACTGGGTAAATTGGGGAATTCAGTCTGGACCTTAGAAGGTAGCAAGGAATTAGACAATCTGGACCCTTGATGGTAGCAAGTAATCAGACAATCTAGTAGCAAGTAATCAGACAATCTAGTAGCAGGTAATCAGACAATCTAGTAGCAAGTAATCAGACAATCTAGACCCATGATAGTAGCAAGTAATCAGACAATCTAGTAGCAAGAAATCAGACCATTTAGACCCTTGATAGTAGCAAGTAATCAGACAATTTAGTAGCAAGTAATCAGACAATCTAGACCCATGATAGTAGCAAGTAATCAGACACTCTAGACCCTTGATAGTTGAGCATAATCAGACAATGTAGACCCTTGATAGTTGAGCATAATCAGACAATGTAAACCCTTGATAGTTGAACATAATCAGACAATCTAGACCCTTGATAGTTGAGCATAATCAGACAATCTAGACCCTTGATAGTTGAGCATAATCAGACAATGTAGACCCTTGATAGTTGAGCCTTGATAGTTGAGCATAATCAGACAATGTAGACCCTTGATAGTTGAACATAATCAGACAATCTAGACCCTTGATAGTTGATAGTTGAACATAATCAGACAATCTAGACCCTTGATAGTTGAGCATAATCAGACAATCCCTTGATAGTTGACATAATCAGACAGTCTAGACCCTTGATAGAACATAATCAGACAGTCTAGACCCTTGATAGTTGAGCATAATCAGACAATCTAGACCCTTAGAGATAGTTGAGCATAATCAGACAATCTAGACCCTTGATAGTTGAGCATAATCAGACCCTTGATAGTTGAGCATAATCAGACAATGTAGACCCTTGATAGTTGAGCATAATCAGACCCTTGATAGTTGAGCATAATCAGACAATCAGACCCTTGATAGAATGATAGTTGAGCAATCAGACAATAGACCCTTGATAGTTGAGCATAATCAGACAATGTAGACCCTTGATAGTTGAGCATAATCAGACAATGTAGACCCTTGATAGTTGAGGCATAGACCCTTGATAGTTGATAGCATAATCAGACAATCTAGACCCTTGATAGTTGAGCATAATCATCAGACAATCTAGACCCTTGATAGTTGAGCATAATCAGACAATCTAGACCCTTGATAGTTGAGCATAATCAGACAATGTAGACCCTTGATAGTTGAGCATAATCAGACAATGTAGACCCTTGATAGTTGAGCATAATCAGACAATGTAGACCCTTGATAGTTGAGCATAATCAGACAATCTAGACCCTTGATAGTTGAGCATAATCAGACAATCTAGACCTTAGAGATAGTTGAGCATAATCAGAGAATGTAGACCCTTGATAGTTGAGCATAATCAGAGAATGTAGACCCTTGATAGTTGAGCATAATCAGACAATGTAGACCCTTGATAGTTGAGCATAATCAGACAATCTAGACCCTTGATAGTTGAACATAATCAGACAATCTAGACCCTTGATAGTTGAGCATAATCAGACAATCTAGACCCTTGATAGTTGAGCATAATCAGACAATCTAGACCTTAGAAGGTAGCAACTGATTATACAATCTAGGCCCTACAATGTAGCAAGTAATCAGATCATCAAGACCCATGGCAGAAGACAATTATTAGACAATGACTAACCTTGGGGAATTCAAATTATGCAAAAATATTTGGAAAAAATGGTTCAAACTTTATAAAACTTAAACTGGAAAATATCCTCTTCAAAATTAAGGACAATGCTAGAATTTTATTAGAATGTCTTTTACTGATTATGCAAGACAATTATTGCAGGCGTGAAATAAAATAATACAAAAAGCATTTTTATATTTATTAGGATAATTTGTCTTTTTGGTCAGAGAAAAAGAAATTAAAACTCTTAGTTATACATCATGGAATAATGGTGCAACATATACTGAGAGAAACAAATAAAGGAACACATGAAAATTCAAGCGTTTTCCTTTAATATTTTCCAGTTTTCATTACCAGCTTTGAATTGCGCTGTGGGAGGAAATCTGAGAATATAAAAGGAACACTTCCATGAAGTGGTCTTCCTTTATTTGTTTTCGTCAGTATATAAATATAAGAAAAAGGGACTTAGACAGAAAATAGCCTCTTCTTAATTCACAGTCAAAACACTGTTTTGTTGAAGTTGAAAGGTCATACATAATTATTTGGAACTATCCATAGTTCAACACAATGGAAAAATAACTCAGCATACATGAATAATGTATAACTTGCATGATTTGGGTTGGTTTGTTGTTTAACGTCACACTCAGCAATATTCCAGCTATATGGAGACAGTCTGTTAATAATTGAGTCTGGACCAAACAATTCAGTGATCAACATCATGAGCATCAATATACTCAGTTGGGATACCCACGAAGATCCGGGTTAGAATATTGATCTTCAGTAACCCAGGCTTGTCGTAAGAGGTGACTAACAGGATTAGGTGGTCAGGCTCGCTGATTTGGCTGACACATGTTATCGGTTCCCAATTGCGCAGATCGATGCTCATGCTGTTGATCACTGGATTGTCTGGTCCAGACTCGATTATTTACAGACTGCCGCCATATAGCTGGAATATTGCTGAGTGCGGCGTAAAACTAAACTCACTAACTACACAATAGGGATGCGATGTCGGATGAGATGTGTCAACCAAGTCAGCAAGCCTGACCACAAGATCACTTTAGTCCCCTCTTACGTTTATTCTCAATTGATTATATAGTTTGTTTATGTTAACTTCATTGAGTGGCTTTTAGAAGCTGGTTTGATGAAGAAAGGAGCTCTTTCAATGGAAACACAATATCTTTATTACAATAGATGCAACATTTTGGTGTAGATTCTAACTCTTGCTTTATAATGGTGTCATTGGATATTGCTAAAAACTAAAACTAATATTGTGTAAAACTCACTCACTCACTATATAGTGGAGATTTTCAGCCTGTTATTTCTTGTTTATGGAGCTATGAGGACAAATTAGATGTTAGAAAATCATGAATATAGAAGGAATACACAAGCTTTAACTTTGACAACCATAAGTTTAACATATTGAAGTTTGTCACAACAGTTAATGAGAAGTGTTAGATTGTACCTTTAATTGTTAATTAGGAAATAATGTTCGCTCTACCCCAATGTGTTTTGTAATAAAGTATAGTTTTGCCCTGAACTATTATAATTAAAGCACGAGGACGGTAGTCCAAGTGCTTTGATGTTATAATAGTTCAGGGCAAACTATACTCTTATCTACAAAAACACATTAGTAGAGCTTAACTTTACATCTTTTCTAAGATGCTAAATTTAATACTTTCTAAGGATAATTAATTACGATTAATTGAATGCAGAAAACAAACGATGGTGTCGGTGACCTAAATTAAGAATCCTCACACAGGGCTAACTTGCGCACTGTTTTATTGATGTGTCTGCCCCCCTACGTTAAGACGAACGTTACCAGAAAAAAAGAAATGATAACAGTTTGATGACGGTTTACGTTAAATATCTTCTCTGAATTATTTTAATTACATCTGTCATTAACGTAAACCATATGGGGCAATATGAACGTCGCATTTCTACTACCAACGTAAGTTTAGATCAGTACATCCAGATGAAGCTGAGTAGTCAAGCGACATTCCACGATTGCATTATGGGAATGTAAACATTGCGAACGTTACCATGCCGCTGAAAACTTGTGAGTCGAATTGAGACATTTTAACCTTAGTAAAACATAAACGTAATGTTTCCACCAGTGATGTGGGTTGGTGAAGCAACTGCAAACCAAGAAACGGGATGCAACGGAGTAGTTTACTGTAGGAGGCCGTACGAGGCGATGACAACTGACATGCATCGTGACGTCGCTTACATTGTGACGTAATGTAAAATGGTTCGATTATGAGGGGGCACACTAGAATGGCGCAGTGACGGGAAAACGTCATTCAATTGTTACGTCATCAAAAAACTATACCTTTATTGTCTGATAATGTATTTTTTTTCGATTGTTCTAACCACTAGTCATCTTAGAATCCTTCATAAATCTATAAAACAGCATTTGAACATGAATCATGTATGCCTTGTCTTGTAATCAGGAGTTCAGCGGGGTAGCCTAGTGGTCAAAGTCTTCACTCCTTGCACCCAAGACCTGGGTTTGATTCCCACATGGGTACAATGTGTAAAGCCCATTTCTGGTGTTCCCCACCATGATATTGCTGAAATATTGCTAAAAGCAATGTAAAACAAAACTCACTTACTCTGTAATCATGATTTAGTTCTTTTTAAATGAAATAGATACTTGTCCAGGCTATTTCTTTTTGATGATCATGGTTCCTTGTTTTGTCCCCATCATCATGATTAGGTTCTAGAACTTTCAGCACCACACTTTTTACGTTCCAAGGTCACTACAAAATGTCTACAAAATGCATCACTGCCACACCTTTTCTATCCACACCAACCTTTCATTTTCTGACAGAACTGATACCACAGGTTTATCAAGGCCTGCTAAGAGGCCAAAATTCAACCAGCAGCAATTTTCGGTAAAAATTCCTCAAAAGGATTGAAAGATTCCCATATCATGTGAATGTATGTTCAAGCTACTGTGATGGTATGGTTGTGGAGGCTTGTATTCCTCTGATAACCAGACCGTACAAGAAGTGGCTTAATACTACATTATTGTATTTGATGAAGTGTTATCTGTTGATGATATTCATTTCCTTCCCCAATTTCTCTGTCACGTCAAAATGTTTGAAATTATAGATACATCCCTCTATTGCTCAAAGCAATGTCAATTCATGTTAGACCAGACCAAATTTATTTATTTTCCACAGAAAACCTAAAGGCAGGAGGAAATTTTTTTTTTAAAAATCACCAGTCAAAGTTATATATTCCTTCTGAATATTTTACTTTTGGCAATTTATTAAGTGTATATGGAACTAAATACAATCTAAAAAAACAACTTTTTCTAAGTTTACATTTTTGGCTAATAAAAACATTAGGATTTTATTTATTGAGCAGGTAATTTTTTATTTTTTTCTTATTCTTGAAAAAATACGACCAGCAGATCCATAAAACAAGAAATAAATTGGTCTGGCCTCAGATAATTTAACTGATGAAAAATTCAGAAAAGATTGTACTGCCTGAATATGCTCAAAATGAACCAGCTATTTCACTGCAGTGAACTTGGGACAATCAGGAAACTAGATGGCTCATTTTAAGCAAAGCCCAGAAAAGAAGAAATACCATATGACTGCAACATTGTTAATGTTACTGGTTACATGCATGTACAGACACAGTTTATTCTTGCAACCACGCGATATGTATATTACCATTTTGTGCCTCATACATGTATGTAACATGATAAGTTGTACATAATGACGCAAACATGTACCTCTAATGCAGCAGAACGCGGCCAGAGTGTAAATAAAGTTCAGTTCAGTTCAAAGCAATGTTAGATAATCCATCATACATAGTTTAACTGATGCAAAATTAAAGAATTTTTTTGATTAAATGTAATTAAAATTTTACTTACAGGAGCACTGGAAAGTTGATCCATTCAGCGCTGAAAAGACAGACAGTGGTGATATAATAGCAAGAGGGTCACAGGTATACATGTAATTCAACACACACAAACACTTCCTTATTTGTTAATCATTCTCTGCACCAGGAAGCAAAATCATTTGAATCCTTGTTTGAAAACTATTGATTAGTCACAGATGTGACAAGGATGTATAATGATTTCTTAGGAAAACAGTTTGTGTAAATAGATTTTTCAATTGGTTGTTATTGTTGTTATTTAGTTTGTAATGATGACATGTTTATGTTTTTGTGTCATGTTGACATTGAGTTGTTTATCGACAAATATAATTCAGGAGGTAGAGTTTGTGCCATGTTTTTTTTTGTTCCAGGATATGAAATGTGTTGCCATTCAGTAAGTATCCTATGCATGGTTTTGTGTTCACAATATTCTTTGCAAACTCATCAGCTTCTCTGGAAGTTGTGTTCTTTGAAAAACAGGAAAATTACAACCAGGATGTTTGTCCGTAAGATTGGGTGTTTAACATCAGGGTTCTGTGTGGTTTAATAAAGGTGGATTGCAGTACCTGTATCCAAAAACCTGATTTGAGTGCCTGATTTCATCAGTAGCATACCACACAATTGACATTTTGTTGCCTTCCTCCCCTCCCCTCAAGCATGTAAATGCAGGGGAATCAAGTCACGCCTCATCCGTCCATTCATCCATCCGTAATCATTTTGTTTCCGGAGTATAACACATAGACTGCCCAATATCTATCTACAAAACTTGGCAGATATATCAAACAGATCCTGAAGTGGTGCCCTTTGCTACATATATTTTTTGTTGATTTCCATGGAAACAATTTGACCTCAGTTTCAAAGGAGGGTGGGTGGGGGTTGGTGGATTTTGAAAAATGAGGAGAAACTAGAAAATGTGAGTTATCTCCCCTTGTCTGGAAACCCTCATGCTTTACTTTGGACTCATCACAGCCCTTTACACCATAAAGATTTTGTTTTTCGGTTACGAATGTAAGTTATACACTTTTCATTGACAACATTACATTTTGGTGAATTGCAGAAGCACAATGTGATAAAAGGATAACTTCGAGTCAAGTCAGCATGTTGCAAATCCTTTTCTTCACACACAGTGAGTGAGTGAGTTTAGTTTTATGCCGCACTCAGCAATATTCCAGCTATATTGCGGTGATCTGTAAATAATCGAGTCTGGACCAGACAATCCAGTGATCAGCAGCATGAGCATCGATCTGCCCAATTGGGAACCGATGACATGCGTCGATCTACGCATTATGGATATGATGAAATGAGTCAACCAAGTCAGCGAGCCTGACCACCCGATCTCGTTAGTTGCCTCTTACGACAAGCATGGATTACTGAAGATCAATATTCTAACCCAGACCTTCACGGTCTCCTTCACACACAGAACTTAAGTCTTTAAGCATTGTTTATCAACATTTCATAATTTCAATGTTTCCAAATAATTTAATTTTTTCTAAAAAAAATTATTAGAATTGCCCATGCGACTGACACGTACATAAGTGGCTCACCTGTCATGTGAAATTATGTCAGAGCACTGTCATCTGTATGAACATCTGTCACAAACATTTTACATACTCTCTGAAGAGGGAGAATTTAATATTTTAGCTTGCTTTAGGATTCATTAACTTCTTCAGATATAACAGTTTAAGTCGGCAGGCCAGTCACCATCATGTCTGTTGATGCAGGTACCTGGAGGCTATCCGACGTCTGAAGGCCGAGGGGAAACAGTGTCTGAGAGACATTCACCTCACATTCTCTTCAGGTCAGTAGTTTGGAAAACAGTTTATTTGTTGCTGACTAATTACATGTATGATGTATGAGACATAGTGTTTGACTATACTGTAAGTAAAGATAGGAGTCGTCAACAGGATTGAGGTTGTTGGCGCTACGTTCCCATTATATATTTGTTTCAGTTTGTAATGAAAAATTTACCTGAAATAACAACAAAATCAGGTAGACTCCACCAGTACATATCTGTAACACTACACTATAATTACCTGAAATGTTTGAAATGGTTAATAGTTTAAGTGGAATTGTCAAAGATCTTCCTGTTTTTATTTCAGATGAAGAGATAGGAAGTAAACCAATGTCTGCTTTTGTGAAACATGAAGAATTCAAAAAGCTGAATGTTGGATATGCTTTGGATGAAGGTGAGTATTGGAAGGAATTCTTTGGTGGGTCAGAAGTTTACCTTGCCTTGAAATACTTGGGGTCCAGGGGACTCCTAGCTACTAATTTTACAGGTCATTACCTGTGTGCGAAATAGTCTCCAAATTTTACTAGCCAGTCGGGCTAGCTATGCCTGAAATCTACTAGCCCACTGAATAATTCACTAGCCCAAAATTTGAATGTAGAAACTAAGCAAAATGTTACAAAAAGGTAAAATATCATCATTTATCAGGCCATAATCTTGCATGAATTTAAAGTGTGTTATAACTTAACAAGTCGGAGAGAGTGATATATTTAAAAAAATGAACCCATGTAAATTCACTAGACAGTCGGGCCAGTGACTGTGGACTTTTACAAGCCATTGGCTAGCGGGCCTGTGACTATTTCGCCCTCTGGTCATTACAGGAAATATGAAGGTACTGTAAGTATATGGAATGGTGTGTTTTAGTACTGTATAGTAAGATTTCATTGTTATCTTTATGACAGGAACTAAATCTTTCTTTCGAGAATTGGTCTATGAATATTTTTGAATGATCAACAGCATGGGCATCAATCTACGCAATTGGGATACAATGACATGTCAGCCAAGTCAGCTAGCCAGAGATCGAAGCTCATGTTGTTGATCACTGGATTGTCTGGTCCAGACTCTATTATTTACAAACCGCCGCCATATAGCTGAAATATTGCGGAGTGCGGCTTTAAACAACAAACAACCAACAAACCAACAAAGGAAAGAGTTACCAGCCTAAATGAAGGGAAAGGACCTACCTGCAATAGCACATATGGTGGAGAAGTCAAGGCAATGAACTGTCATGAGCTGAGATACATCTCATCCGATTTAAATTGGAGAGAACCTCGATATGAAGGTTCTTCCAGGTGCAGACCACTTGAGTTGATCAGTTTGTGGGAGGACACTTAATTAAGGATACACGCTCCACACTCCCCACAGCGTTCTCTCACTCAGGAATAGGTCACATGATGAGGTCATGTCTCGAGTGAGTTAAACTCTTCCAATCCTTGTCTTAAGTTTGTATTAAGACATCATCATGTATTTACATGTAACATCTCAATGATGCAAATATTTTTTTCAGGGATTGCCAATCCTGGCAGTGAATTCCGTGTGTTCTATGGCGAGCGTTCCTTGTGGTGTAAGTGATGGGTTTGGGAATTAAAGTGATCATCAGAACAGTTTTATTGCTTGTTGTGCAGAGTTGTGTGAGGTATATTTCTGGTGTCCGCTGGCGTGATATTGCTGGAATATTTGCTAAAACTAAACTCACTCACACATTGTTTTGTGTAATTCTGAATTTTATTTGCAGAACACCTATTCACTTCCAGATTTGTTTCAATTTTGAAAAATTAATCAAAGAACATTTTTATATAAATCCAGTGATGCTAGAACTGATAGAAACTTAGACTTATAGTAATCATTATCAAAGATTACTTCATGGAGCAATACCAATATTCACATTCTACAATCAGTCTAAGTAAACTTAGGCTTTTCAATTGACCAGTCAGAACACAGCTAACCAAATCACAAAAAGTTGACGTTTACCTCGAAAAAGTTTTGTACCTGAACGATTCTGAATGCTATTTTCCGTACGATCACTTCCGAGTGATGCACATGGAGCACGCCACAACAGTGAGTAAACAGTCGCAGAAAATAGCGTTTTGTCAGTATTCAAGGATGTCAGCTTGCGGAAATATTAGCTAATGATAGCCATGTCAACAGAAACCCAAAAGCGTATATTCTGCAGGTCATATATCTGTGTTGTATGCGGGATTTCATTTGTTGTGAGATCAGTGTTGGCGACCGGAGAAGAGAAAATCCATTTTGTAAGTCCCGCCAAAACCCTAAATAGTAGCCGTTGTCTGATTGGTTAAATCCGTTCGGTCATCTCGAGTTTGATTGGACGGTCATAGATCGCTCAAAGGTTACCTGACGCGACCTTCCACAAGGTTTTGTTAGACTCAATATAGCAGTGTAACGAATAATACTGAGCCTAAGTTTACTTAGACTGATTCTATAATGTGATCATAACCCTATTGTGATCGCAACGTGAACACTTTAACATTAAGTTCTGGTTTTCATAGCACAAAGATCATTTTGTGGAATGGGCATTAGGAAATTTGTATAAAAAGACCCAAATACGAGTTGACATTTGGGACAATTTGCAGAAATGGAACCAAAAACTAACCCACAGACTATATCTTCGCTATATTGATTAAATATACAATATAGATCAGGAAATTGTCCTTGTGCTTTTACAATATGAATTGGTTCTAAGTATAGAGAGCAATTATCCATTGGTGCTACTAATATACTAGATGGTTCATTACTCCTCCTGGTACTGACTAAATACCTTGTGTCAATACTGTTTCTGTGTCTCATACAGCGCTGAAATACTCATAATCATGAAATTGACTCAATATTTATGTCCCACTAATTCAGTGATTTGTTTGTGCGAGGTTTGATGAGTTCAATCCTTTGATAAGCAGACCCTGGGGGCTGTTTGATGGAGAAGATAATTGATTGACAAACACTTGCCTGTCTAACACTGACAGTGATTGCGTGGGTTGTACTAGGTAGCGAACCTGTGCACTTACAGACACATTCACAGGGGAAGAATTGCAGAATTTACAATACAGTTTGTCTGACTGGTGCCAAGTTAAATGTTACGAGAGGTGATTTAGAAAATTAATATGCAGAATGATTCATTATGCATTCAAGTTGTGACATTTTATACTTGTTTCAAATCATATCACTGCTATTTTGCAAATGAAGTTCTCTTAAACTAATGCTTATTCATATTTGTGAAGCAGATAGCCTACTGTCTACTGCTATGCAATGTATAGTTAGATGGTATATTCAAAGCTAATATCTTAGACCTTGATACACAGATATTTCCGACTTATAAATATTGTGTTCCATGAAATATTGATATTTTACACATTTTAAAGGTTTGAAGGTCAAAGTTTTATGATTGAGTCTAAAGTCATCATAAATGGTATATTATTCCCCTTTCAATGTTTGATGGGCGGGTGGGGTAGCCTAGTGGTTAAAGTGTTTGCTTGTCACACCCAAGATCTGGGTTCAATTCCCCACATAGGTACAATGTGTGAAGCCCATTTCTGGTGTCCCCTGCCATGATGTTGCTGGAATATTGCTGAAAGCGGTGTAAACCCATTCTCACTCACTCATTCAATGTGTGATTACACAAAATTTCACTTAACCTTGACCTGTATCTGTCCTTAGGGGTCCAGGTGACCTGCAAGGGGGCCCCAGGTCATGGGTCAGGGTTCATACAAAACTCTGCTGCTGCCAAAGTGGTAAGTATTTTAGTAATGATACTAAGTGACATTTGGTGTTGGGAATTGGTTGAACTCTCACAATGGATGATTGGTTCATTACCAACAAGCAATCATTGAAAAAAATTGGTTAGCGTCATTATGCAGATTTTCCTGTACAGGTTGTTATTGCACTTAAGTATACAGAAAACAACATGATTTATCCTGTTGTTGTTTTGTTTTATTTAGAAACTGCACAAATATCACATCCAATGTAAAATGATGCAACTTGCTCATTAAAAGTGATAACTAACATATCATGAACATAAACCTCGAGCCCTCAAGAAATATTCAGTCATGACTTTTCAGTAAGTAAAGTGAGTTTTCTAAGAATTAAATACGTTTTCAGGCCCTGACAACTTCTAAGATACGTTCCATCGTCAAGTGTTTCAAACTCTATAATAACAGCTCCAAAATGATTTGTGTTCCATTATGAGAAAATGTGATCGATTGCTTGGTCATTTGGTCACTGGGACCAATCCTTGATTTTTTCAATTAATCTGAACACCACTAGTGACATTCCACTCAAATGTAACCATTTTCTATAACAGCCTTATGTATTCATGATACACATGTTCGTAGCTCAAAAGTGAAGGGAGGAATATTTTGAAATGTGAATGATTATATTGCGTGTTCAGTGAATCCAACCATATCCCTTCATGAATTCATTTTGTTGTTCATGATGACTTGAAACAAAAATATTCATGAATTTTTTAAAAAGGAGGCTTTTACTTGAATTTGAGTATTAATTATAAAAATGAGACATGGAAAATGGAATATATCCAATCCAGGCAGGATAATAGCCAACACTCTTATTTGTTTAATTTGACAGTAATGTGGTGTCTGGCCACTGTGATATATGAACACCATGTTCAAAACATGTCAAATAATGTACAGATGGTTATTGTTTCACTGAATGTATTCAATAATACATCAACTGCTGACTTGTATTTGTATTCGATACCCAAAATTCATATATACATTGTATATCATTTTTGCCTCATAGTGGATTAGCGGCGGTGGGGTAGCCTAGTGGTTAAAGCGTTCGCTCATCACGCTGAATATCCAGGTTTGATTCCCCACATGGGTACAATGTATGAAGCCCATTTCTGGTGACCCCCAACGTGATATAAGTGGAATATTGCTAAAAGCGATGTAAAATCCAACTCACCCACTCACTCACTCACTCACTGGGGTTGAGTACCATCTGGGATTGAAACCCACACTCTCACAGTCAGGCACTCACTCACTCACTCACTAACCGGGGTTGAGTACCATCTGGGATTGAAACCCACACTCTCACAGTCAGGCACTCACTCACTCACTCACTAACTGGGGTTGAGTACCATCTGGGATTGAAACCAACACTCTCACAGTCAGGCACTCACTCACTCACTCACTCACTGGGGTTGAGTACCATCTGGGATTGAAACCCACACTCTCACAGTCAGGCACTCACTCACTCACTCACTCACTGGGGTTGAGTACCATCTGGGATTGAAACCCACACTCTCACAGTCAGGCACTCACTCACTCACTCACTCACTGGGGTTGAGTACCAACTGGGATTGAAACCCACACTCTCACAGTCAGGCACTCACTCACTCACTCACTCACTCACTGGGGTTGAGTACCATCTGGGATTGAAACCCACACTCTCACAGTCAGGCACTCACTCACTCATTCACTCACTGGGGTTGAGTACCATCTGGGATTGAAACCCACACTCTCACAGTCAGGCACTCACTCACTCACTCACTGGGGTTGAGTACCATCTGGGATTGAAACCCACACTCTCAGTCAGGCACTCACTCACTCACTGGGGTTGAGTACCATCTGGGATTGAAACCCATACTCTCACAGTCAGGCACTCACTCACTCACTCACTCACTGGGGTTGAGTACCATCTGGGATTGAAACCCACACTCTCACAGTCAGGGAATCACTCACTCACTGGGGTTGAGTACCATCTGGGATTGAAACCCACACTCTCACAGTCAGGCACTCACTCACTCACTGGGGTTGAGTACCATCTGGGATTGAAACCCACACTGCAGCTCAGTCAGGCACTCACTCACTCACTCACTACTAACTGGGGTTGAGTACCATCTGGGATTGAAACCCACACTCTCACAGTCAGGCACTCACTCACTCACTCACTGGGGTTGAGTACCATCTGGGATTGAAACCCACACTCTCACAGTCAGGCACTCACTCACTCACTCACTCACTGGGGTTGAGTACCATCTGGGATTGAAACCCACACTCTCACAGTCAGGCACTCACTCACTCACTCACTCACTGGGGTTGAGTACCATCTGGGATTGAAACCCACACTCTCACAGTCAGGCACTCACTCACTCACTCACTCACTGGGGTTGAGTACCATCTGGGATTGAAACCCACACTCACTGTCAGGCACTCACTCACTAACTGGGGTTGAGTACCATCTTGGATTGAAACCCACACTCACTGCCAGGCACTCACTCACTCACTCACTCACTCACTCACTCACTCACTCACTCACTCACTCACTCACTCACTCACTCACTCACTCACTCACTCACTCACTCACCTATAGACCCCTGCTGGGTCATGGATCACTGTCATGTCAGCAATAATGCACCTACTGATCTCTAACGCCATCATCAGTTGACTAATCAGTGAAATTATTCTATTTACAGCGTAAAGTGATGAACAGTTTTCTCCAGTTTCGTGACGATGAAGAAAACAGGTACGTAGACCACAAATAGATATATCCCGATATGATCAAGCGTTACAGATGACACATGTAAACACTCTGACTGAACTTGTAATGAGCTCAAATATAGTGAAATCTGAAGCTCCCTGTCCCTCCAGCACATCAAGCCAAATCTTCTCATGTTGCGTTTATGCCCTGCACCAAACAGATAGTGATTCGGGGATAGTTGCTTGATTAACGTTGATGTGTTTATGTGTAGAACTTAGTAAATGTGATTTATCACACAAGTAAATTCAACACCAAGATAAAGGCACCAATAAATCAACTGTCTGATATGTGAAGTGTGAGGCATTTCAATTTTGTTTTAATTAACAAAAACTATTTAATGCATCTGTGTGGATTAGCTGTTGAAGGATGTGATTCACATGAAGCATGAATAGTTGCTAGGGACATGTATTCTGTGTATTTCCAGAGCTCCAGATAAGATTTAGCTCATGTGGGTACTGTACCCACTGTAATTTTTTGGAGTGGGTATTTAAAGTTTACTAAGCAGGTATGTTCTGCCTCATGTCAAACCTAATCAAAACCAACTTAAATATGATGGAAATGATTTCATAAAAAATCACTCATCCTTTACTGACAGTACAACACTAGTCCTATACTAACAGTACAACTTGAAAGCAATCGATGCCTTTTTCATTACACAAGCGATGTTTATAAATATATTCCGTACGCATTTGTTTTAAACTTTTTGCATATCTAACATTTTAAAAGCGTATTTGGTACGCAACAATTTTTTCAATGCGTAATTGGACATTTTCTATGCATATTTTACCTGGATACGCAACTTATCTGGGCCTCTGTATTTCATTAAGTCTAGAACCAGTCAACAGATGTTGATATGGACTTAGACTCTGAAACTGTGTCATTTTGAAAGAAACAAGCAGCTACATGTATATTGAAAAGGACCCACAGTGAGAAGCCGTGGAGAATCAAGAGTTGCTTCATTATTCAGGGTTATAGCATGGCAGTCAGTTAATGAGTTTAGTTTTACGCTGCTTTAAGCAATATTCCAGCAAATCAAGGTTGGGGGACACCAGAATGGTACCCATGTGGGGAATCAAACCCAGGTTTTTAGTGTGAGGAGCAAACTCTTTAACCACTAGGCAACCCCACCGCCCCTGCAGAGAGAGAGAGAGAGAGTTATATATCGCATTTAGCAATATTCAAGCAATATCGCAGAAGGTTCAATGCAAATGGGCTTTGCACATGGTAGCCACGTGTGGAAACAACCCAGGTTGTCAGAGTGATGAATGAACACTCTAACCACTCGGCTACCCTCAGCATTAAGGGCTTGGTGAAAGTGATAATGGTTCAGGGACTATGTCAGACTACTGTTGATGTAGAAGAGAGAGTGAGTTCAGTGCTCTTAGCACTATTCCAGCAATATCACGGCGGTGGACACCAGAAATGGGCTTCCCACATTGTACCCATGTGGGGATTTTCTTTTATCTGTAAATGTGAGGCAGGGTGTTCTGTAATGAAGCAGACAGTGTTGATTTCAAATTATGTTATCATAATAAATATTAAAATAGTCCTGTATGTCTTTTTCCTTTGCAGATTAAAATCCACCCCTAATCTGAGTCATGGGGATGTGACCACTGTCAATATGACAATACTGAAGGTAATCTCTGGATATTGTTTCACCACATCTTCATTTTGTTAAAAGACATTATTTGTGTCAAGGACTAAGATAAAGAGACAGATTTCTAAATGGATTCTTTTAGTTTTATCAGAAAGTATCATGTATCCTATTTGTGATCTAATTTAGGCTGTATCACCATTTAACACCCGGAGTTATCTGGGGTAATAATAATCCGATTGTGCTCTTTGTGCAGGATGTGAAGCCAGGAAAGTCGCGTTATAAATATTCAGCATAATTATCATTATTACTATTATAATTATTTTTACAATAGATGATTCCAGGGCGTATGTTTCAATAATATAATTTCATTCTATAATAACTCCTTTGAGAGGCATTTTAGAAGTTGTATAGATGAAGGAAAACCAAGTTCTATGGATAGTCAACTTCTTTATTGCAATGAGTGTGACTTTTCGGTGTAGGTAACAACACTTGCTTGATAACAGTGTTAGTACCTACACCGAAACGTCGCAATCATTGCAATAAAGAATTTGACTATCCATAGAACTTTTGGTTTTCCTTCAATCTATAATAGTTTAGCATTATTGGTTTTCCCACTGTGAGGATGATCTCAGAATAGGTGCTGTTCATCCATCTGTAAAGACTTGTTGCTGGAGCATTACTCATCATTTGTCTTCAGTATTCTTTGGCCAAACTTTGCAGAGGTACCTGTTTTGCTAGAGCATTACTCAATAGTAATTACTGCAACCAGTATTTCTGGACCAAACTTTCCACACATGCCTGACTAAGAAAACTAGGAAGAAAGAATTTCTGATTTTAGAGAGAACAAATTCCCATCAGTGATCATTTCCAGAACCATTTTAACTTCCTGGTTTAGCGGTCAAGTGTTTGACGGCTGATTTTCATGTTTGTAGATTTTTTCTTTGACTCTGGTTCCATTGAAATCCCCATAGAAAACCCCAGTGTTGTCAGTGTTTCAAATATGGCAGCCAGGAAAATGAACTTTTTTATATCAGTCGTGTTAACCACAATCTCCTCAGAAACCTATGGACTATGTAAAGATGAAACTTGTTATGATTTTTCCATCAAAGGATGACACCTCAATCAGTTCAAGAGGTTTGATTCCAATTTTCAATATGGCCACTATGGCAGCCATATTGAAAATGCTATTTGTGGCCTTTACTAAGTTGTGTTTGTTCAATGTTGTTTTAATGCATGATTATATATGCTCCCAAAATGTTTATTGTAAACTATATAAACTTCTCCTCTCTGTAGCTAAACTAACAGAAGTGCACTTTGTCAAAATATTTCTTCTTGTGATCATGTCATATCATTTAGCTGTCAGAATATATGCTTAAAATATTTAAATATCAATATTGACAGCAAGTTTTGTTAAGTAGCCATCTTTGTAGATATTTCAAACTTTTGACATATCGTGGTAAGCTAGCTACAGGCTGTGTCAAAGGAGTGAAAATCGTCCCAGCACAAAGATTGCTTTATTGAATAGGTCTATGAATTGTTACTCTAATCAGCTGTTGTTGTTTTCTTTGCAGGGAGGAATCCAGTTTAATGTTGTGCCGACAGAATTTGGTTTATGTAAGAAACAATATTCTCTTTTATCAGTACAAAAAGTGATACAGCATCACTTCCCGCCCCGTAATGAGATGTCCTGACCAACATACGTCCTAGATACTGCCTAGATTGATGCTGATCACTGGATTGTCTGGTCAAGACTCGATTATTTACACCGCCGCCATAAAGCTGGAATATTGCTGAATGTGGCGAAACTGAAACAAATACAAAACCCCCACTCTATTGCTTCATTGCATGACCCAGTGTTTATGACCTGAGGATTTCTGTGGCTGTATAGGACGGTGGGGTAGCCTAGCTAGTGGTTAAAGTGCTCACTTGTCACGCCAAAGACCCGGGCTCGATTCACCACATGGGTACAATGTGTGAAGCCCATTTCTGGTGTCCCCCGCCATTATTTTGCTGAAATATTGCTAAAAGCGGCGTCAAACCCAGCTCACTCACTCACTCGCTGTGGCTATATAGTGTACTCTATATCTCCAGGGTCTGTGTTTGGTAAACCCACGCTAACCCAAACTACATTCCCATAGTTGTTGCAATCGCAAATTATCTGTGGAGAAGTACGTAGCCTTCTCAAACAATCTATTTTCTCCACAGCATTCGACATACGTATTCCACCGACTGTGGATGTCGTCAAGTTTGAGAATCAGATTAAGACATGGTGTGAGGAGGCAGGCGAAGACGTCACATACGAGTTTGTTATTGTAAGTTCTTCAGTTCCCTCTACTTTGGTCTTGGTGATATGGTTTTTCTGACCATCATCGACATCAATGCAGCTTTACACTTTAAGGAATGGATATCTTATCAACTTCAAACACAATCGTAAAATACATACATACATGCGTGCAGTGAGTGTGTGTGTTTGCACCTGTCCGTCAGTCAGTCAGTTAGTCACATGACATAATAAATCAAAACATCATCATGACAGTGAATACTACTTCTAAAAATACATTCATTTTCTGTTACTTTTTCAATTTTGAAACATTCTAATTAAATGAAAGATACATCTACATCTACTGAAGCAAGTGTCCACCAACTTTTCACCGATTCCACTGAAGCGGCATTTATAAGAATGTGTTCTGGGTCTTAGCTGCCTGACTCGGAGAGTGTGGGTTCGAATCTCGGACCCCAGATGGGACTAAAAAAGTACTAAAGTACCGTCAGAAATAGAAAAAACCCTGTTTTTTCACATTTTCATCTACAATTTAGGTAGTTAACATGTGAAAGTGTGAAATATCTGTTGAACTAAGTTCGGCCTAACTACAGTCTCAGTGGTAGGGAGATAGGACATGTTAAAAAAGGACTTTACTGAGGAGATATTAGTGCAGAAATGAGCAATGCGGTTTTTTTCCGAAGTCCGAAGAGACTTATTTGGAGCAGACCATGACTTTATGCAAATTAGTGTGCGATGATATTGTATAACAAATGACACTTTTTGAAATTAGAATTGGCGTCATAATAAACGATAGCAGACATAAAAAATAACAACTTGAAGACTGAAACTATTAAGGATATAGATACCATTGAGTCTCACTATCACTATAAAAGGAACAGGTAGGAGGGGTCGTCTCAAAAGCAAAACCAAGATGGGTGTTGCTGACGGTAGTTGAGGTCGGGCTTGGGATAGAGATATTAGCTAAGATTAGATAATCAGTAGAAACATATTCAATACACATGAAAAAGTTTAAAAGATATTTGAGATGACCCCTTGTGTCTGTGGGCAGCACGTGCATTTCATGCCAAGTGAATCGACAGTCCGTCGTCATACCTGGCTGAGCGACCTAATTGCCATCTATAGTCTGATCTATTGTTTTCAGCAGTTGTTCGTATTTTTTCTAAGTTTTGCCCGATTTTACGAGAAAACATGTTTTTCTGGATATCCTGTTACGCATCCCACTGAACGCCCAGTTAGGCCGATGTGGGTTATTTCGACATATGCTATTTGCAGTTGTGTAAATTTTAGGGATACAGAGTAACAGCCTAAAAACATTTTTTTTCTATTTCTGACAGTACTTTAGAATCTATACTTCACTGAAAAGTATGATCCCAAATGTGATACATGTAACTTTATCTTGAGGCCCTCATGTTCACAAACACTCCCATGATTGTACACAGATGTGTTGGAGAGCAGTTATTGACAGCCAGTAATGATTAACTTTGTTGTAACTGACCCAACACGGAAGTAAAACCAAACTCAGTCAGTCAGTCTGGAACCTCAAAGGGTGGTGGGGTAGCCTAGTGGTTAAAGCGTATACTCATCATGCTGAAAAGGTTTGATTCCCCACATGGGTACAATGTGTGAAGCCCATTTCTGGTTTCCCACGCCGTGATGTTGCTGGAATATTTCTAAAAGCGGCGTAAAACCAAACTCAGTCAGTCAGTCTAGAACCTCAAAGGGTGGTGGGGTAGCCTAGTGGTTAAAGCGTTCGCTCATCATGCTGAAAAGGTTTGATTCCCCACATGGGTGCAATGTGAGAAGCTAATTTCTGGTGTCCCGCATTGGGATATTACTGGAATATTGCTAAAAGTGGCATAAAACCAAACTCAGTCACTCACTCTAGGACCTCACACCTCTCTCCTCCTTTATGGCTGGCTGTGTTAGTGTAGCATCATACCCTGACAGTGGCATCATTCTAAGCTACGGTCTTTGGTAGATTCTCACAAGAATGCATAATATATGTTGTATATTGAGTCAGGGGCAAAGGTGGCCCTGTCATCTAATGCACTGTAATTTAATGTGTAGAGTTGTGTCCCTTCGGTGTGTCAGGATTCTACAACCATGGGCTTGAGTCTCAAGTTTGTCGTGATTATAAATTTTGTCTGCAACACATATGTGTTTATATGAATTTAAATCCAAGATTGGTATCACTGTTATGGACAGTCTCTGCTCCAAGGCATCGATTGTTAACAGGGGCCGATCCAGGATTCGGGAGAAGTGGGGTGCACATAAAACATGAAGTCCAAAGGTTGGGGGCAAGTGCTCCTCGGGGGAAAATTTTGGGGGTAAAAGGTGGGGGTGCACACCCCCGTTCCCCCCCTCTGGATCTGCCCCTGGTTATATCTCCCGTCCCCTAAATAGAAGACAATCCTGTACTAATTTGGAATCTCCCTCTTTATTACAGAAAGACACCAGTTCTCACACAGTTCCCATCACAAAGGACGATCCCTGGTGGAACGCCTTCAGCTCCACTCTGGAGAAACTGTGAGTTGGTACAAGTGAATTTGTTACTTGCATGGCATGACAACAGTTTATGTCAGATCAAATCATTTTGAAACCTTATATCAAATTCAAACACTTATCATGACTATCACCTTCCATCTGATTCAAACACTTCTCATGACATTTGATTCACTAGAGTTCCTCATGACAACTGACTTCAAACAATCTGAATCAAACACTTCATGACAGCTGACTTACATCTGAATCAACACTTCATGAAAGACAGCTGACTTACATCTGAATCAAACACTTCATGACATCTGACTTACATCTGAATCAATAACTTCATGACAGCTGACTTACATCTGAATTGAACACTCCTCATGACATCTGACTTACATCTGAATCAACACTTCATGACAGCTGACTTACATCTGAATCAAACACTTCATGAAGGACAGCTGACTTACATCTAAATCAAACACTTCATGACACCAGACGTACATCTGAATCAACACTTCATGAAAGACAGCTGACTTACATCTGAATCAACACTTCATGACAGCTGACTTACATCTGAATCAAACACTTCATGAAAGACAGCTGACTTACATCTGAATCAAACACTTCATGACAGCTGACTTACATCTAAATCAACACTGCATGACAGCTGACTTACATCTGAATCAACACTTCATGAAAGACAGCTGACTTACATCTGAATCAACACTTCATGACAGCTGACTTACATCTGAATCAACACTTCATGAAAGACAGCTGACTTACATCTGAATCAACACTGCATGACAGCTGACTTACATCTGAATCAAACAGCACTTATGACATCTGAATCAAATCAACACTGCATGACAGCTGACTTACATCTAAATCAACACTGCATGACAGCTGACTTACATCTGAATCAACACTTCATGACAGCTGACTTACATCTGAATCAACACTTCATGACAGCTGACTTACATCTAAATCAACACTGCATGACAGCTGACTTACATCTGAATCAACACTTCATGAAAGACAGCTGACTTACATCTGAATCAACACTTCATGACAGCTGACTTACATCTGAATCAACACTTCATGACAGCTGACTTACATCTGAATCAACACTTCATGACAGCTGACTTACATCTGAATCAACTTTCATCTGACTTACATCTGAATCAACAGCTGACTTACATGAATCTTCATCTGAATCAACACTTCATGAAAGACAGCTGACTTACATCTGAATCAACACTGCATGACAGCTGACTTACATCTGAATCAACACTTCATGAAAGACAGCTGACTTACATCTGAATCAACACTTCATGACAGCTGACTTACATCTGAATCAACACTTCATGACAGCTGACTTCTGACTTACATCTAAATCAACGCTGCATGACAGCTGACGTACATCTGAATCAACACTTCATGACAGCTGATTTACATTTGAATTGAACACTCCTCATGACAGCTGACTTACATTTGAATTGAACACTCCTCATGACAACTGTTTTATTTCTGAATCAAACAATTCAGAACATCTGCCTTACATCTAACCGAAACGCTCAAAATGACAACTACCTTACATCTGAATCAAACACTTTTCCTGACAATTAATAAAATACCCCTTTCATGACCAAAGATCTCCATCTCATGATAACTTAAAGCCTTTCATCTGATTCAAAAACCTCTCATTAAAAAGTCCCCAATCTTAATCAACTTCAACGTACAAAAGCCTGAACCCTAAATCAAACACTCAAACAACAAGGCTCAGGTCCTAATCAAATACTTCTCATAATAACAAAACTCTTCAGGAATTAAAAAAGAAATAAAAATTCTGAATCCAACATTGCATAATTTTATGGTATTTATCGATATTTGGCCGTGTTTTGTCAAGTCAGGTTGTACCAGCTGCCAATGAAATCAGTCCGTAATCAGTTTCAGTCCGAGAGCTGTATACAAGGATCAATAGCTATTGTTGAGCCACTCTGTTGAAGTGTTTGCCCATGACGTAACACCCTGACATGTCGCCCGGGCTAACATGGAGCTGTGTTTCCCTCTTTAATTACTAGATTGGATCCCTGACAATATATTGACAAATTCCACACAACAGTTCTCCGATCAGCAATGATTTATTAATACTCCATGCCAGAACAATGCAGCTACAAAGTGCAGTCCATTTGTTTGAGCAATCAATCCGAGTTATTCTCGTAAGGGTTTCTATTCAGTGCAATGTATTAATGATAATAATTGCTGCTTGAAGTGACGGATGTCCCGACTATTGCAAGGGCATTTACTTCAAGGACTTTGTTCAGGTATACTCAGGGTCAAAGTAAGGCAACATTAGCTTGACACCTGAGACTTTCTAAGGCTTCGGCCTGCTCTACATCGAAAAACATGTAGCACTTGTAATGTCTAGAGGGGCAAGTGAATTTGTGCAAAATAAGCCTCTGTTCACCTAGCAGTAAATGGGTACCCAGTAGGATGAAATTGTCTGACTGTTAACCTTCAGCGCCTTACAAGGCAGTTAGGGTTGTATACTCCTCAAGGAGGGGAGAATGAAGAATCATCATCATCATCATCATCATCATCATCATCATTATCGTCATTGTCATCATCATCAATCCATATTAGCAGCTATTTTAAAAGACATGACACACTGTTAATATTTACCTTTAAAACATCAGATGAGGTCTATTTAAGGTATATGTGAACACAAACTCATTCAAATCAGGACTTCATTCTGTCTTCCTCTAAGCAAAGATCTGGAGACATCCCATTACGGGTGACATAACATCAACCTTTCATCTGACCAATCAGGATGTCGCATACCTGTCAGAAAAATTATAGTGGGAATGTTTTCTAATCATGGAAAATATTTTGAACATGTACATATTAACATAGGGTATTCCAAAAGACTGTGACTTATTGTACGACTGTCTCTCTCACTGGATTGTCTGGTCCAGACTTGCTTATTTACAGACCGCCGCCATATAGCTGGAACATTGTTGAGTGCGGCGTAAAAATACACTCACTCACTCACTATCTCTCAGTTCAGTGGAGTAGACATTTGACACTGCAAACAGCTTTTTCTGTATTATTACTATCAATATGACGATGACGATCATCATCATCATCATCATCATCATCATCGTCATGTTTATTATTACAGGGGAGTGGAGTACAAAACTGAGATCTTCCCTGCAGGTACAGACAGCCGGTTTACGAGAGAGGTGAGTTCACACTGTGCTGCTGCCATGTTGGGTGGGGGGAGGGGCAGGTGTGAGGAGGGGGGTCATTATGAAGTACAAACAGTAAAAGATGCCACAAGCATTTAAAACTTATGTATGGTCATCATAATCCATGTTATCACATAGAAGCATCCCACTGTTATAACAACTATTTTACTATATGAAGGTATCACATTGTTATTATAATGATGATTTCACTATATCAGGCCTACCAAAGAAAACTTTCCTACTGTGCAGAAAAACGCAGAAAAGCCCACATTAATTGTGGAAATAGCAACATAAACATAATACCTTGCTACTGAAACAGTAAAAACGGCAATGAAAGACTATGAAACTGCAACATTTTTATATCAGCGAACTTTGACCTCTACTGCGCATGCGCATTACGATCCGCGCTTCTTTCAAATTTCTGAGCAACCGTGAATCGCCTTGTGTAGAAAAAGTATTGAATAATTGCTGTCAATCATTTCATGCGAATGGAAGGTAAACTAAACAAGTGTGCACACAAGTTTGATGATGATAAATGCCAATAACACAACAGAAATACTTTAGAAAGGGAATGTAACTTTTGTCCAGGGTGGAAAATGTCAACATGTGGTCGAGACTTCCTCTTCCGCCTTTACTGTTTCAGTAGCGAGGTATTATGTTTATGTTGCTATTTCCACGATAAATGTGGGCTTTTCTGCATATTTCTGGAAAGTTTTGTTTGGTAGGCCTGTACATGAAGCAGTCTAAGTAAACTTAGGCGCAGTATTATTCGTTACACTGCTTTACTGAGTCTAACAAACCCTTGTAGAAGGTCGTGTCAGCTAACCTTTTGAATTGCCAATCAGAACACAGCATACCAAATTGCAAAAGTTAACATTCGCACATACTGTTTAAACTTTTACCTCGAAAACTCAAACGATTCCAAATGCTATTTTCCGCAGAATCGCTTCCGAGTGTTACACATGGAGGACACATAATTCACAACAGCGAGTAAACAGTTGCTGTACATAGTGTTTTGGTCAATATTCCAGGATGTCATCTTGCGGAAATATAAGCTAATAGTAACCATGTCATCAGAAACCCCTAAGTGTATATACTGCAGGTCAAATATCTGTCTTTTATGCGGATTTTCATTTGTTTAGAGATCAGTGTCAGCGACAGGGAAGAGAAAATAAAAAAAAGTTTTGTAAATCCAGCCGAACCCTAAAATAGTAGCTGTTGTGTGATTGGTTAAATCCGTTCAGACGTCTCACGTTTGATTGGACGGTCATAGGTCGCTCAAAGGTTAGCTGGTTATTTCAAAGGTTATTTAGGTATATGACTATGACTGGGGTCACCCTTTAAATACCTTTGACATCATGTATTCCCATTCCAGTGTGGCATTCCAGCCCTAGGGTTCTCCCCGATGAACCACACCCCCATCCTACTGCACGACCACAACGAGTTCCTCAGCGAGAAGATCTTCCTGAGAGGCATTGATATCTACTACGAGATCATTCCCGCCCTCGCCAATGTCACAGCCTAGAAGGGGTACTCTCTGCAGGATTGTGACCATGCCATGCTGTCAGACTGGTTCAGTGTCATCAGTGGTATTTAGTCATGATAAGGAAGAGCTACAAATGGTTATATCGTATGACCCATATGTCAGCGATATACTTAAATAGTATGAACTAGTCAGATAATATTCAGATATATTCAGGTAAATGTTTGTTTTGTTCATATTCACTTTTACTGGAAGAGCCGGAACGAGAACAATTATCTTGGTTGTGATTGAATAACAAGACCTTTGTTTGGTTGCTTGCTATTCAGATAAGATTGTTATAAATTATTTTATATGCTTCATCTATAGTTAGATTTCAGCTGGTTAAATTTTGTTTCTTATGAAGAAATGTATATTAAATGAACTACTACTTTCTTTTTTTTCCTTCAGTTTGAAAATGATTGTTTTTGAAGACTTGATTTCAGAAAAGAACAAAGTGCCTCTTGATGTGTGAAGAAAATACTGATATACTTTCATTGACCTGAAATTCACATGATCAATGTGGTACAAAACGGGTAAGAGATCTATGTCAAATTATTGTATATCAAAAAACTAAACCTAGTCAAGCAAAAATATTTTTCTTTTGTAGAAAATGTAGATATTTATATACTTGTTAAGGGTAGAATGTAGTGGTAACTATATTATATAATTTAAGATTGGAAAGTGATGTTATGTTGTGATGGTGCTTTTGGGATCAGTTTGCGAAATAGTTTCCAAATTTTGCTAGTCAGTTGAGGTAGCTATGCCTGAAAGTTACTAGCCCACAAAATAATTCACTAGGCCAAAATTTGAATGTAGACAAGGGTTTCATCATTTAGCTGCTAATATGATGAACATTTTTTTATCAGGCCATACTCTTGCATGATTTAAAAGTGTATTATAACTTAACAAGTCGACTGATATATTTTCTAAATGACCCCATGAAAATACACTAGCCATGGCTAGTGACTGTGGATATTTACTGGCCTGACTGGATTTTTACTAGCCACGGGCTAGTGGGCCAGTGGCTATTTCACACACTGTTTGGGATGTGAGTGAGTTATGTTTTAATGCCACTTTTAACAGTATTTCAGTTATATCACAGCATGTCAGCTAACTGTAGGAGGACCTTCATTTCAAGTTAGTGAGTTTAGTTTTATGCTGCTTTTAGCAATATTCCAGCAATATCACGGCAGTGGACACTAGAAATGGGCTTCACATATTATACCCATGTGGGGAATCGAACCTGTGTCTTCAGCGTGACAAGTGAACGCTTTAACCACTAGGCTACCCCACCGCCCATCTTTGGTTTCAATCCCAGTTCATCTTGATTATATTAAAAGGTTTGTGCCAAAGTGTTAAATGTCCTAGACCTACATCGCTTCTTACTTCAGGCTTCCCTCCTGCATGGAACAAATTGCTGTGATGTAGCTGGAATTTTTTTTTTTTTTTTTAAATCTTTTTATTCATTCCAGATAGGTATACAAAGACAGGGAGTACACGACTCCATGTTAGGGCTGGTTACATATTGGCAACAAAGAGTTACAAATTTTCTAAGTAAGAAAATATGGATACTAGTATAGAAAGTCAGGGAGTGCACGACTCCAGCAGCAAACTTCATGGGTTACAGGCATGCTCGAGCTAGTTATACATTGGCAGCAAGGAGTTACTAATTTCAAAGTGTAAAAATGTAGGTACACAAAGTCAGGGGGTGTACCACTCCAGCAACAGACTCCATGGGTTACAGGCATGTTTGAGCTGGTTATATATCAGCAACAAAGAGTTACTAATTTCGAAGTGTGGTGCCATGTCATTTTCTATGTCAATAACACAATGCATTGTTTGACAATAATATTTGGCAAAGTTCAATCATGCAAGGTATTATGTTCTTAAATCATATCAAGAACTGTGTATTTAGAGTAGTCTGTCTCTCAGATCCTAGAGAATAACTTGATTACATGGCAGGCCAGGTGATTTTGCAAGTCTTGATGTCTCAGATTTTGTCTGTTTTCAGAAGTCTATATTATGTATATTTTTTGTCTTTATTCAGATTGAAATGTTTTAATGAGAATATGCATGTTTATTTTCAACTAAAGTGTTTAACTCAGTTTCTGGTTCATTTGAAGCAAAGGATGAACCACGAATCCGTTGGTATATGACCAGATGGTGGCCACATGAATACGTGCAAACACCTAGTTGCGGGTACAGCAACGTGCAGTGAACTTGGACAAAGTTCTGTGACTATGTGTCCCAGTCCACCCAGCTGTGAATGGGTACCTCGTTAGGATGAGAAAGCCACAATAACTCGGTGCGCCTAGTGGCTGCAAGAGTTGTATACTCCCCAGGGAGTTGAGATTGATAATGCGATGTGCTGTTGAGATTGACATCTAATGATTGAGGGAAAAATACCACCGCCTTGAGCATGCACTAGATGCCTGGATATGTGCGCTATATAAATATCTTATAATGTTTCTCTGTCATGTTTCATATGCTTTTACATTTACATAATGATTACATTATATAAAACCACAGGGTGTCTGAAGATTACACCATTGTAATGATTGACCCAGCTTTGGTGGCTGAAATACTACCCACAGAATGCTCTCCTTTATTGACTTTAGATGATGTGGAACTTTTAACCCGGTTAGATGGATTGTTGATATAGGTTAAAACTGGTCCTCTGCTGGCGGAAATATTGCTGAGTTGTGACATGCTTGTCTTAAGATGCGACAAACGGGATCGGGTGGTCAGGCTCGCTGACTTGGTTGACACATGTCATCGGTTCCCAAATGTGCAGGTCGATGCTCATGCTGTGGATCACTGGATTGTTTGGTCAAGACTCGATTATTTACAGACCGCTGCCATATAGCTAGAATATTGCTGAGTGCAGCGTAAAACTAAACTCACTCACTCACTCACTTAAATGTAAGAGGTCACTGCAGCAGTCATGTTTTAGGTGTTGTACGATGAGCTGGGTATGCAGGAAACCACATATACTTCTAAAGATACTGCTACGATGATTGATCTTACCAATGTGAATCAGTCTGCCACTGTAAAAAAAAAATTGATAGAAAAAGCTGTTTGGATTAAACTGAGGTAAACTCATGTGATACACCACCTGCAAGCTTTTTGCAGGGTACAGGGGAATTATTCTCCTGCTCAGAAATTTACATGAAGCCCTTTTTCTTCATGGCAGGGTATAAGGCAATTATTGTTCTGCACAGAAATCCACAGGCAACCTGTTTTCTTCATGGCAGGGTATAAGGCAATTATTGTCCTGCTCAGAAATCAACAGGCAACCTGTTTTCTTCATGGCAGGGTATAAGGCAATTATTGTCCTGCTCAGAAATCAACAGGCAACCTGTTTTCTTCATGGCAGGGTATAAGGCAATTATTGTCCTGCTCAGAAATCAACAGGCAACCTGTTTTCTTCATGGTTGAAGAAAAACTAGCGTAGTCTGCAAAATGTAACCTTTGTTATCACAGAATCATTGAGTCTGCTATAAGTTTTTGATAATCTACCTGTAACTGAACAACTGAGGTGATCTGTGAAGTTTCGTTTTCATATCTATTTACAGGGTGATTCTTTTATTTGTTTAGATGATCTTTTACAGCTGTATCGATCTTGACTGATGTTTTAGTTCATTGTAATGGTTGCAATATTCAGTATTTGAACAAATGATGTTAAGGGCTATTTGCCAGATTTTTCAACTGTTACAAAGGCATTTTCAATTTGAACATGGAAATAAACAGTTTTAGTTTTTGTGTTTTTCTTACCATTAATAGGCATTGGATGCTGAAAGTATGTGAACATTTCTCTTGACAGCTTATATTTTTCCAGCAATGAGGAAAAATGATTACTTTTGAAATAAATGATCTTTTGCCCCAGGAATGTCGAGTCAGCACCTTTCATGTCACTGATGAGAGAAGACTAGCATGTCATCCTTATTAACATAATAGACTGGTCTAGTGGACAGAGTGTCTGCCCAGAGAGGTTCAGTCCCAGGCTGCAACATACCATATGACATTAACAGATGGCACTCAGGACTGAGGAGATAAAAGACTAGTCTGCTTGAAGCCAGTAAACTGTGAGGGTGCTATCCTTGTTACAACTGTAGAATGAGTGAGTGAGTGAATTTAGTTTTATACTGCTTTTAACAATATGACAGTGGGGCACACCAGAAATGGGCTTCACACATTGTACCCATGTGGGGAATCGAACCCGGGTCTTCGGTGAGACGAGTGAATGCTTTAACCATTACCCCACCACCCCTGAATGATATCTTAGTGGACATGTACACATGGACGCAGGCACACTCGCATAAGAATGGTGCTTACAATACAAATGTAATACCATGAATAGGATTCACAACATGGTCATTTGTCCTGGTGCTGATAAGGGAGACAACTCTTCACAAGAAAATGTTGGTTAAGCCACTGTGCCCCTGTTGATGTATGAACTACGGTCATTAACATCTACAAGTTCAGATCAGCTTGTCACTCCAACAATCATTCGTTCAGCTTGTATGATAACCATATTTCTTGTAATAAAGTTGGCACAAGTTGCCCAGCTAGCTGAGGCACTGTAATTTGACATGCAGAGTTGTATCCCTTAGGCACACCAGAAACCGCTGATGGTTGCTTGGAATCCTTGGTCTCCCAAACATGTTTCTAGTTTTGTCTGTACCATACCCACGCTCCTGAGTTTCACCAAGATGGTCAATGTCTCAGAACTGCACCTCTAAGTGAGTGAGTGAATAAGGTTTTACACCACATTTAGAAATATGCCACCAACACGACAGATGACTCCAAAACTGGGCTTCCCATATTGTACCCATGTGTAGAATAAAACCTGGGTCACTGATGAGTGAACACTTTAACCACTAGACTACCACATCACATCACACCATCCCTTTCCCTGATCCCCCCTACCCCACCCCACCCCACTTCAAGCTAAGACAGCTCCTGTTTAACTTCCAACTCACATCATTCACACACTTTTTTTATACTTTTAGAAATCCACAATGTTAATGATAAACAGGTAATGATTTTTCACTAACTAGTCCTTTCATTTTTTTCCCATGTAAAAAATGATCATTCAATGTCTCAATAACAAGCTGATGACATGAGTGCGTGACCCTTGCCAAATACATCGACAGGTTCATCCGCCACAGGCAAGTGTCTAATTTCGGATTGCATAGTCCTGGGTGAGTTATGCAACCATGTACAAGATTTACTTCAGACCTGACTGAATGACTATATAGCTCGTAGGCGCGTGAAGCCTTGTGTTCATTGTTAGTTTGGATTACCTCGCCTACGCACACTTTAGCCAAGCACATACTTATACAATTTAGAGGCAGTGAACGACAGAGTAAACTTTAATTTCGGATGAATGACTAATTGAGTATGACGGGCATTGTCAAGAGTGACAGGTCCGACATTTTGGCGAGCGCGCCACATGACACTATAATTTCGGATCCCTTTCATCCCGTACCTGTTTTGGGTATGCGTTTGTCTGGCCGCGACCGTGGATGTATAATATACCTACTATAAGCCTTGAAGATCACGGAAAGTCATACCCAGCCACACTGTGCGCGTAGAGGTGAGGCCGACGTGCACATTACGAACGGCACCAGACCAGGTGGTGTATATTCGGATCCCTATTTCTATTGTCGGGATTCGATAGTTAGTCAGCACGACGCAACGTGATTTATGTTTAATTCGGATTTCCTAAGGTATCCGAATCTGAAACCCATAAAGGCACACGCTGCGTCCCAGGGTAACTACGATCCGAAATTAAAAATTTTGACACTTTGAGGCACACGGATCCGATCTATGAAAACCTCAACACCCGCTAGGCCCATGGATCCGATCTTAAGGGTATGTCGTGTCCCGTTTCAAAAAACGACCAATGAGGTCTGCTTTTTCTTTGAATATGACGATTACGGAAAAACGACAAAGCATGCCCAGATACAAATTGTAAATTTTGTTGTATTTAGTGACGAAAACAATATGACGTCACGTGATTGGAAATTGTTATTGCACGCACTTTTGTATATTTCATATCACTTATGACGTATATGTTCACATAAATTCTATATATAACCTGTTTTGTGCTTCCATGCATGTCATTTAAAATATATTTTGACACACAAGTACATACACTTTAATACGCTTTAAAATAGCGTATCAATGGGAATCGAACACGTCCATTGCGAGAAAACCTATTCACAATTATGCAGTTGCTTACCCATTTCCCTCTAGGTAGGTTGCAAATACACATGTAAATAGTATATATAAGTCGTTGGGATGTCTTTCTTTAAAATAGCGTATCAATCGAACACGTCCAATGCGAGAAAACCTATTCATAATTATGCAGTCGTTTACTTACATGTTAATTTAGTGTAGCATAAATAATTTTCATGAATTTAATTTTCGTAAGATCCAAGTCAAATTTTGCACATTTGTGAGGAATCATCTTACGTACAATCAAGTAATTTCTGTTTAATTTCCCGTTACTTATTTATCGAATGGCAACCATTTAATCAACATATGTACAGTGCGTGAACTCCTTTAACATGGCGGCCTATAGGATTGTGGAACCACACGTAAGTTGATAAATATGATGTCATTAGTTAAATAGTGGTCGGAAAATTGAACTGATGATTTCAAATTTGCCCATTAAACCGGAAATGGGCTTCATCACGCATTGTACCCATATGGGGAATCGACCCACTCATTCAGAACATAGTATTTGGAGACAAGAAAATTTTAATCAGAATGTCCTCTTTACACAGAGAACAAGTTTTCGACATAAACCATGCCTTTGAAGACAAGTACTGATACGTTTGAATGCTATCAGTGACACACTTTATATAACAAACGATATATTTGGGAATGACAAGTGTTTGTGGATGATCAACTTCTTTATTGTACTATTGCGACGTTTCGAATAGATGCTAATACCGTTTTCAAGCATGCATACGTATGATTGTTTGCATTTCATCATGACAGATAATTAAAAAAAATAACAATTTTCTACCTATATTTCTCATTCGAGTCGAAAGTATATAAAAGAATGTAAATAGACCACTGAATGGGACCACTTTAGGCAGTCATATCATTATCTGCATACAATACGCTTTCCAAAAAGCTCTTATGGCCGTGCAAGACTACGTTACTGCTCTCCTATATCCATTTTCACTAAACACGATGACGTCACGTCGACGTCATGATGCCTTCTGTGACGTCATAATCAGGGAGGCTTCAGTACGGGACGAACAAGTAGCACGGAGCCATGGCGGAAGAAGAAGAGGAACAGCCGGACCAGGAATCGGCGATTATGAAGACGATTCGTCTTCTCCGGTTCAGTGCCACGAAGGCCCCAGCAACCCCTGAACCCACCAAGAGCGCCAAGAGCCCTACCACCCCTTCTGCCCTACTAGAGGAGGAGCTCTACTACACTCCCGAACTACCCCTCCCGCCTCCAAAACGTGGGTAAAATAGAATATGTGCTACTGTCAATCATAAATAGGAGGGGCGGTGGGGTAGCCTAGTAGTTAAAGCGTTCGCTCGTTCGGGCCGAAGACCCGTGTTCGATTCCGTACATGGGTACAATGTGTGAAGCCCATTTCTGGTGTCCCCCGCCGTGATATTGCTGGAATATTGCTAAACGCGGCGTAAAAGTAAACTCACTCACTCACTCATAAAGAGGCGGATTGTCATTAATTCCGGGCCTTAAAACTCTTAAAACTGGCTGAAAAAGGTTTCCCTTTGACTTTTCATTGAAAAGCAATACAAAACGCTTTCAATATGTTTCCTTTTCATCCGTCAGGCAATTTTGGATTTGTGTTTGTGATTAGTCCTTTCATCCGCCAGGCAATATTCATTCAGTGTTTGAAATCACTTCAAAAATACAGTGTTTAGATCTCATGCAATTCCTTACTTTCACAACGTTCCCAGTCTGTCGCTCAGACCCCAGAAAAAATATTCAGAAATAATCCTAACTCAAGTCTGGAATGATTTGGCAAGTCATTCTTGTTAGCCTTAACTATTCCCTACGGTTTGGGTTTTTTTTTTTGGAAGCTTAGTCCGTTATTAATTATACATGGATTTATATCTCCATATTAAACAAGTATAATGTGCTATAGATATACACTTGTATACTAAACAAAAAGGTAAGTGATCATGAATATTTGGGGGCATATTTTTTAGTTGTGAATGTAGTGATACATACCCAAAAATATTCATATATATGGAAGGTACTAAGTCTCAGGGAGACATTTCCAAGAGAAGACGAGTGAATAAGAAAGTGTGATTGTAAAATGAATACGTGTCAGGTGCGTCTCATTGGTTGAGCATTGGAATTGATTGTTAAACGGGATTGAACCCGAATACTCTCGGACGTATCTGTGTGAATGACTTATTTTTCTGGTTAACTTTTTTTAAAGCCAGCGTGTCATTGGACTTGTCGAAATGGACGAAACAATGTTTCTCGTGCAATTGTATCAATCAATCATAAGAAATGGCTTTGATGCATTGTTTTAACACTAACCTAGTGAATTCGCCAGAGATATACAACTACACGTGAACTGTTTACATTTAGTGGTAAAATTGAATAATATTATATTATGTTTCAATCATGTCAGTGTTTACATTTCGTGGTAAAATACTGAATAATATAACATAATGTTTCAATCAACCCATGGCGTGCCAGCTCAAAGGAGTGCGTGAGATGAATTTTAACGCCGCTTGACATTCTGAGCGTGTCAGCTAAGGGAGAAAACCCAGGATGATGCAGGGCTCAGACGTTTAACACTTTGGTGAGCCCGCAAGCACGGCCATAGTCACAACTAACTTCGAAACAGTCCGAGTTTCAACTCGCGATCATTGGCGTGTTTTGTTGACCAGGGCCTAGATTTTCGAAGCCCTCTTAGCACTAAGATAGTCGTAAGTGCCATGCATTAACATTAACTTACGACTATCTTAGCGCTAAGAGAGCTTCGAAAATCTAGGCCCAGGGACGAAACTCTGCAGGCAGTTTGTCGTTTAAGGCCTCATTCAGCAATATTCCAGCTATGTGCGCTGGTCTGTATATAATCGAACCTAGACTAGACAATCCAGTGATCAACAGCATGAGCATCGATCTACTCAACTGGGATACGATGGCATGTGTCAACCAAGTCAGCAAGCCTGACCATTCGATCATGTCAGTAGCCTCTTAAGACCAGCATGGGTTGCTTAAGACCGGGAACAATTGGGTTGAGAAATTGGGATTCAAACCAGGGGTTCCTGGGAACTGTAACGTCTTAGAAATTTGGGCCAATGTTTTGGAGGAATCTCTGATAATTCTTTCTAATAGTTGACTGAAGTAGTTGTTGTGGTAGCAGTAGTGACGTCATGCCACAGAGGCGCTACTGTGATCTTAGCGAGATAAGGTATTGGATATCGCCCCACATACAGACGTGCCTTTCATTGACAAACTATATTTTTGTATTATTCCGATGTTTACTGTGATTTCAGCCACTCGGACGCCGATGGGGGACTACATGGTGCCACAGGGGAAGGCCGCTTACAAGTCTCGGTAATACACTCGTAAACATTTCGTCATGTGTGCGCCTTACCTATACAAGATAGTGTGGTGATTCCATTTTTCTGTGATGCTGCTGCAGATGATGGTTGCGATGTTGCTGATACAGCTGATAGGTTAAGATGATGATGATGATGATGATGATAAGGATTGTGATGCCGATGCTGCAGCACAGATGGGTTTTTGCGAATATCATTGTCATTATTTTTATGTTTGATGGTTGCGATGTTTTGCCTATACAGCATCGTATAGATGGATTACGATGCTGAAGTAACACTGACGACGATGATGATGATGATGATGATGATGACGATGATGATGATGCTGATGATGATGCTTGTGATGCCGATACTGCATCACAAAATTAAATATTTAAGAAATGCAGCAATGAGGCTTTGGGTGATCCTGGCAGTCAGGTTGGTTGAGCTCATTATCAGGGCTCTTGCCTAGACAGCTAATGGGGATCATCATTATCATTTTCATCGTCATCATCATCATCATCATCATCATTATTTGATACACTACGATTACATTTTCTGGAGATGATAATAACATTCAGTGATCACCAGGATGAATATAAAACCGTCAATCAAAATACTGACAAAAATAATTTGTTGTGTTGTTTCACTGCACCATGGCTACAGATATAGAATACAGATATAGAATACAGATATAGAATACAGGTATAGAATATAGATATAGAATACAGACATGGCACTACTTGACACTGCTTGACACATCCTTGTCCCTGCTACAGGTGACCATGTGCCCGGGCCTGCGGACTACATGCCAAAGATCGACCTGACCAGGAAGTCGGCGCCACAGTACTCGCTGGTCGGAAAAAACCAGGAAAGATCCACGTAAATATTTGATACCTTCCGACACTAACACGAAAAATAACAATCCACACAAACTAAACCTGCAGTTACATGAATATAAGTGATTGATTTCTTATCAGTTTGCTATTCGTTATTGATTAAATTAGCAATATTTGGTGCTATTATACTGACTGACTGAGTTTGGTTTTACGCCGCTTTTAGCAATATTCAAACAACATCACAGCGGGGGACACCAGAAATGGGCTTCACACATTGTGCCCGTGTGGGGATTCGAACCCGGGGTCTTCGGCGTGACGAGCCAACGCTTTAACCATTAGGCTACCCCACCACCCCTGGTGCTATTATAAATCAGTACTATCGGAATGCTAATGCCTTGACGTGGGTCTTTCATTATCATATATCATTATATATATTGCTATTCGTGCGGATTCGAATCCCGGATGGTACTCAACCCAACAAAAGTATTAGAATCTGTACTTTACTGAGAAAGTGTATTTCAGATATAACATGTCATATTCGAGCATTTTTTCATTCAATGCAACAAATCCGATATTTCATTACACAGTTTTATAAGTGCGCGTGATTATTATATATTTTAATTTCAAATTTGATTTAGTTGTTTTACATATCATTTCAGTAAACAATTTTATTATTAAGCATAATTCACAGCACAACAACACCGCGTTCATGTGAGCAGCACGTATACGACATATAAAACATGCATCTATTTGATAAGTTGTTAATAATTTAAACATCTACATCCTCGCAGCCAATCTGCATCCTGGTCCAGCTGATTACACGTGTGGAAAGAACCTTATCTGGAATCAAAAGACTGTCACCCTCAAGGGCAGAGTTGGCAAAAGTTACTTCGAACAGAAAGGTAAGACGCCAAATTTAAACAGCCTAGCTCAACCACAAATTATTTCGATTAAGAATAGTTTTAACCTTGGTGACTAGCCACAAATGTTGGACTACCTCCTTTATCCAGCCAGCCTCCATTAAAGATAAATATTCGCTGCCACTTTAGCCGTTTCGAACCCGATTCAAATGTCACGACGCTAAAAATAGCCGTCCAATCAGATTACTGTCACGAGCGACAGGAATTATGTGCTGTGTTAGGTTGAGGAGCAATAGGTGTGGGGTATTTGTCGCAAAAGAACAGAGATCAGGCAAACACCTTTGTGCCGAACTTTATAATGTTGAACGGTTGTCTCGAAGTAAAACCTTGGCCCCTGCGTAATCCTTATTACTCCTTACTTTGCGGTTGTGTCGAACCTCAGATTACTCGAAGTATTTACATACGTCCCTTCTACTTCGACACAACGGTTTTTGACTACGAGAACTTAAGGATGGGGCAGAAATGGCAACAGTTGCTTTAAGTTGAATATGCAGGTGTAGTAGAACCTGGGTGCAGTTGTACAAAGCGATCTTAGCGCTAAGGTGACTGTATCTCCCATACCTTAACATAGACTTAAGATAGTCTTAGCGCTAAGGTTGTTTTGTACAACGGCACCCAGGTGATTGTAACTGCTGATGACTATACTACTTGGATATTATGTGAGATCTCGGTCCAGTCTCACGAAGCAATCAGAGAGCTGTCACTGTTGAACATTATCATAGTTAATCTGTGGAGTTGTCCATTTTTCTTTATCTTTTGATTGTTTCAAAAATGTTTTTAATTTCTAAAAATATGTTCCAGTATACATGTTTTGTTATTTGTGTTAAACGGGGAGTTGGTTTTCATACTGAGCTATCCTACAACGACTTCCTTGATGTATGATGACATTATAGATGTCTTCGTGCCCCAAATGGGCGTGGGTGCTTTTCAAACCACTTCGAGACATGACTGGCTTCTTGGTATATGTAAGTTATTAACTCCGAAATGAGCAGTCTGACAGCTTTATTCATTCGAAAAACCACATCCTTGAAGACTTGCTTTGATTTTCGACCGTTCGGTTGAAAGATGAAATAAGCCCGTTAATGAAAATCAAAAACCGGACGTGGGATCGCCATTAACGGAAACGAGGAGCTCTTCCAGTTGAAGTATGACAGGTGGGAAACCCGGCTAATAGCTGTAGCGGCGCATCTACAGTAAATGTGGTACTTATATCTAGGTCATTCTTGAATGAGTGAATATAGTATAAACTAGAGTCTGTGAATATACGACTCTTATGTGGTTGACACATGTCACCGGTTCCCAATTGCGCAGATCGATGTTCATGCTGATGATCACTGGATTGTCTGGTCCAGACTCGATTATTTACAGACCGCCGCCATATAGCTGGAATATTCCTGAGTGCGGCGTAAAACTCAACTCACTCACTCACTACGACTCTTATGCAGACAAAAAAATAGTTGATGTTATGAAGAGCACCCATGCCATCAACCGCGTCCCTAAAATGACCACCTGATCCTCTTTAATCAGTGCTTGGGGCAGTGGGGTAGCCCAGTGGTTAAAGCGTTTGCCCGTCACGCCGAAGACCATGCTTCGATTCCCCACACGGGTACAATGCTTGAAGCCCATTTCTAGTGTCCCCCGCCGTGATATTGCTGGATTATTGTTGTTTATTTAAGCGGCGTGAAACTAAACTCACTCACTCACTAATAGGTTCTTGCTAAAGTTACGGTGTACCTGTGGAGACTGACAATTTGGTCAATCGAGAACAATACAGACTTGACGTAGTGAGTGCGTGAGAATGATTTTACGCCGCTTTTAGCAATATTCCAGCAATATCACGTCGGGGGACACCAGAAATAGGTTTCACTCATTGTACCCGCGTGGGGAATCGAACCCGGGTCCTCGGCGTGACGAGCGGACGCTTTAACCACTAGGGTACCCCATCAGCCCGGACTTGCCATAGACCTACGTATTCCATCTCACTGTGCGATCACTATAGCTTGTTTGTACCGTACACAGATCCAGGGGTATCCGACATCGGCCCCGCCATGTACGACACGGAGAACCCCCTAGGGAGGTGTGGGCCCTGCTTTAGTATGGCTTCCAAACACATCTACATCGACGTCATGGCCGGGCCCCCTAACGGTCTCGTGCAGCCCGTAGACACGCACGGTAAGCTTTGTCTGTCTCACAGTCCCTGAATAATATTTTCAGTTCTCCCAACTGCCACCCTAATGCTATGGCACTGATTGAATCAAGTCTTGATTTTCCTCAGTTTCTGAATCTCCCATCTTAATTCTATCAAATATATATTTTGAGACTAAGCGTTGACTAAGCTACGTAGGGATAACTGACTAATTTCAATGTTTCTGTTTACAACACAGAGTTCTGAATGTTCATATCTACAGTCCGTTTGAGTCAGAAACGGACCGATGAATTGCAAATTTTATCAAAAAAACTTTGCGACAGTTCACTATTTGTTACGAGGTGTGCAGAGAAAGGATGGAGACGGCACAGCACAGGCTAATGAATCAATAACTTGGTGGGCACTTGTGCACGTGCTTCTCTAACACCTGGCTGTCCCTTTCTCTGCAGTCCGCCCTCGTAACAAATAGTGAACTGTGTCAAACTTTTAATGATAGTTTCTTAAAGAACTTTTTAGGTGGAGTCCGGAAAATTTTCAAATATAAGAAAGCTGTTGGGTATTAGTAAATGATAAACATGTGTACTACTTATATTTATGTGGCAATTTTGTACAGTGATAAAGTTTGCAATTCATCGGTCCGTTTCTGACTCAAACGGACTTTTTTTTTAGTGGGTTACGAATTCTAATGGTATGTAACAACTTTTGATGAAGAAATGCTCTCCACGGAATTCAGAATGATAATTTGCTTTTGATTCTTAAAAGTGTTCGATCTTGACCTTCAGGGTTTGAGTCGCCTGGCCCCGACTTCCAGCCCAACTCAGGCTACTGGGGAAGAGGACCCGAAAAGTCCTTTGGGACCAAGCGGGAAGTCGTTTTTCAGGAAAACCCAGGTTTGTGTTTTTTGTCGGACATTCCCAGTGATGTCATTTTATTACTTTACCTACCGAAGTCACATATTTGTGTTGGCTGTCTGTCATCAAGGAAAATCATATCTGAAGTGAGTGAGTGACTTCAGTTTTACACCACTTTTAGCAATATTCCAGCAATATCACGGCGGGGGACACCAGATTTGTACCCATGTTGGGAATCGAACCCGGGTCTTCGGCGTGACGAGCAAACGCTTTAACCACTAGGCTACCCCACTGTCCCTCATTTCTGAAGAGTGAGTGAGTATGGTTTACGCCACTTTCAACAGTATCATCGAGATAAATAGGCACCACACATGTACAAATGATGGGAATCGGACCCGGCACGTGCATCTTGGACGACACGATGATAAGTTATATTTATGAGTGAGTGAGTGAGTATGGTTTTACGCCGTCTTCAGCAGTATTACGGGACACCATAAATAGGTATGACACATTGTACCAGTGAGTGGAATCGAACCCGGTCCGTACATTGCGTCCTCATTATGACGTATATCTATGACTCGACATATATGTGTTGACGTATATATTGGATATAAGTTGGGATTATTGACAGTTTTCAAAATTATAACTAAATGAATACGCACGCTGGATAATCGTTGTGATGTGTCCAGCAAACACGATCTTGTCAGCCAGTTACAGTGAATGTAGCACAATAACAGGGTGAACTATAGTCTGTTTGCAGTGAAAACGTACCGATGAATTACACCTTAATCAAATAAAGTGAAATGAAAATTGCGAATCCTCATAATTTTACCTTGCCAACTGAACATGTAAATCTCAGAATTTTATTCAACCTAGGATAAAAGTTGTTTAACAAACAATCATAGTTTCAAATCGCTATTATATCGCTTTGTATTACAAGGGGGTATGCACATTAAATGAAACACCGAGAACACGTAGGGTTGGTCTAAGTTAACGCTCATCACGTACCGCACGTGCATTTGTTTCACTCTTCCAACTACTGCGCTTACCCCTTGTAATACAAACCCATAATAGCGATTTGAATCAATGATCATTTGTTAAACAACTTTTATCCTCTGATAAATAAAATTCTGAGATTTAAATGTTCAATTGGCAAGGTAAAAGTATGAGGATTCGAAATCTTAATTTCACTTTATTTGATTTACTTTTTTATTTAAAGTGAAATTCATCGGTACATTTTCACTGCAAACCGACTATAAAACACGTACTCTACAACTTGATGAGGATGGAACGTGTACGTAGAATGGGTTTCATAGCGTTTGTTGTCACGCTGAAGACCCAGTTCGATTTCCAAATGAGTATAGTATCTGGAGCCCAGTTCTTAGTTCCCAGTCCGTGATATGTCGGGCATGTTGACAAGAGCGACGTAAAAACCCACTCACTCTCCGAGCCCGCTCACACACCCATTGCATTTATGGATCTTAAGATTGTAAGACACACATTCAAATTATTTGAACACAACCGCAGACAACGTAAAATATATGACTACACAAGCTGGTCAACACAAGTTATAGAGGCGATAGGATGGCCTAGTGGTTAGAACGTTCACTCGTCACGCCGAAGACCCGGGTTTGATTCCCCACATTGGCCAATGTGTGAGGCGCATTTCTGGTATAAACCGCCATGATAATGCTGAAATATTGCTAAAAGCGGCGTAAAACATTATTCACTCACTCACTCACGAAGGGTTTGAAGTCAGCAACCATACGTAACGAGTTCTATTCCCCCTTGGCAACTTCTACCCGTCCAATCATACCAGCTATAACTGCGCCTATTATTTTAGGCTGCCGGTTCTACATCTGGAATAGTGCCTGTGGCAATCTGTAATTTGTCAACCAGCAGATTAATACAGTTCTCACTTGCCTCTCGGCTCCCATCCCATCTATAATGAAGCCAACAGGATTACTCCTGCCATTTGTTGCTCAACGCCTCGGCGCATGATGTATTTCTACACTCAGGCCAGCAACATGTGCATTGCAGGAATCGTGTATCCAGCATCTGGCGATATAACACTGATGCCACAATATCTCCATCAACCTCTCCAAATTACACACAAGTACGGCCACATATGCTAAAACGAACCTGGTTAATGGTGATAGGGTGTCCATAATCTTGACGCCCAGGAGATGGTAAAAATCATTTATTTATACAAGTCCACGTAATCTCCTCCTCTGTGAGTGAATTTATGAGTGTTTCAGCTGATCTAGGTGCATCTATATTGCAATTACGACTGCCTCGTATTAAACAGTACGGGGTTACTGTAGATAGTTAAGTGGCAAGTGGTGTATGGGTTGGTTTAGAGCTGCTGTCAACAGTATATTTCAGGTAATGTGAAGTGGAATGAGGTTAACGTCACTTTCAAGGTTATATAACTTACACAACCACGTCCATATGTGAGTGAGTGAGTATGGTTTTACGCCGCTTTTACCAATATTCCAGCAATATCACGGCGGTGGACACCAGAAACGGTCTTCACACATTGTACCCATGTGGGGACTCGAACCCGGCCTTCGGCGTGACGAGCCAATGCTTTAACAACTAGGCTACCCCACCGCCCCCGTCCATATGTGAATAATTTGTTTGTACTGGCCTGGGTATTTGCAGTTGTTATATTGCTATTCCACTGCATGAAGCACCATGTTTGTTTGTTTGTTTGTTTGTTTGTCCAGTAATTGACATCATGAGCATCGGTCTACGCATTTGGGATACGATGACATGTGTCAACCAAGTCAGTGAGCCTGACCATCCTATCCCGTCAGTCGCCTAGCCTCTTACGACAAGCATAGGCAGCTGATGACCAAGCCTAACCGGATCATTCACTGGACCATTGTCTTTTCCCTTTATATGATTGATACGGGGTGCCAGGCTGAGAAACAACAAGTACCACGTGTTAACGGCTTTTGGAGTGACGCGACCGGGGATCGAACAACAGACTTTCGCTCTCCGGGCAGAGAGAGATTCTATCCAATTGAACTATATTTAATTAAACCGCAGTGACCAGCTCGCGTATCAGAATTTTACCTGCTGGATGCCTTTGAGCTAAGAAGGGGATTAACATAGGGATAAAATTACAAACAGATCGTTGACATTTATCTTTTTCGATCACGAGAAGATGTGTTGGATTCAAACTCATGCAGATACTGTCATCAAAGGGACACAACTCTGCATGGCAAATGTTGACGCCAAAGACTGCAAGACTACCAGGAACCACGAGCGTCAGACTTTGTCCCAGTGTCCGCGACGATCTCATGATGCAATCATTTCAAACAGCTGCTTCGTGTTTCCACATTGGCATACTCTTTTATGATATATATTGATTATTTAATCACCTTGATTTATTGAACTGATTAACGGTCCAATTTAACATCATAGCAATGGCTTAAGCCTTCAACCGTGTTTTCTGTCACGATACATGTTTGTCCAGAGACCACACCATTGTTTTGTTGGGGTGTTTTGTTATGTTTTTCATTCATTCATTCATTCATTCATTCATTCATTCATTCATATATTAAGCGACCGCCTCCGTGGTGTAGTGGTTAGAGCGTCCGCCCGGAGAGCGGAAGGTCGCGGGCTCGATCCCCGACCGCGTCATACCAAAACACGTTAAAATATGGTACTTGTTGGTCCCTGTCTGGCGCTCGGCATTAATGGGTACAACAAGGACTGGTCGGCTCGGAGTCAGTATAATGTGTCTGAGTGGGGTATTCATGCTTCACTGCGGCATGGTATCTCAGTGGGCTAGCACTATAAAACCAGCTTCAGTCTGGGCTAGTACAAGCAGCCGCACATACACATACACACGCATGCACGTCGTCATGTGAGCGAAATATTCTCAAGCACGACGTTAAACCCAATTTCACCTCACCTCATATATTAAGCTAAGTAAGTAAATTTGTATTTTCGTTGGAGGGGTAAAGTTTTGTTCTTTTTAGGGTAGGTTGTTGGGGTTGTTTGGGGTTTTGTTCGTAGAACAAATTATTATTTTACCCTATAATTTAGAAATCTTATTTTGGTAATTCTCTGTTGCAGGCCCTGGCGACTACGACATCCCCGACCCCAACAAGGGCCCGTCTTACTCACTGGCCAAGCGGCTGTCCAACTCGGATGAGACAACCAGACGTAAGTGCAGCCACTACACAGCTAGGCAAAACTAAGTCCTCCCGATCGCGACTGAAACGCGAAAGGTACGCGAGCGTGTTTACGTTTTATTATGGTTTAGTACCCGAAAAAAACAGCGTTCCCAGAACCGCAATCGTGTTTCATGTTGCGAACACCAGCGGTGTGGAGGCAGTTCTTTTCAGGTGTAGCCAACATTTTAATTGGATTATGTCGAAAACATGACGTCAGTCTCTACTTCCCGAGACTCCGTTGCCTTTCCTTTCCCCTTTTCACAAATACCTTTATTCAAGATTTCAATGGCACTTATTTTTCCCCGAAAAAGGAAACTGTCTGAGAATATGCTTGCAAAGAATATTTCAGAATGTTGAGAAAAATCTTGCCAGTCACATATACATTTTTAGATAGATTTTATCAAATCATATTTTCGCTCATAGTTTTAGTTAAGGAAATGTGTGTATTTGCAGCGATTAACTGAAAAAAACTCTGGTCTCCATACACACACCTAGCCCTTCGAAAACATACCAAACCCACCCCGCCCCTACCCCTTGAATATGAATGGTCAGTTCCATCTGTATGCTTAAGTTAAGTTTCTTAATCCTTCTTTTATCAGATGCAACGTTAAAACAGTTTCACTGCAAAACAAATAATGACAGAGCTGTGTTTCAAAGTCGATCGTTTTGTGCGTGAGTATGGTTTTACGCCGCTTTTAGCAATATTCCAGCAATATCACGGCGGGGACATCAGAAATGGGCTTCAAACATTGTACCCATGTGGGGAATCGAACCCGGGCCTTCGGCGTGACGAGCGAACACTTTAACGGCTAGGCTATCCTATGAATTAAGTTCACATGCAATCACGTTTATAAAATGTGCCAATCTCAGCAAAATTCACCTACCTCTCTGACGGCGATGTTGCATCTCCCAGTTGCAAGTCTCTAACTACCTGACACGGTGTACCAGGTTGTTATTAAGTCTAAAGGCCATACGAGGATACCGTCTCGTCTTAAGTAGTGATCACGAAGAGAACCAACACGTTGCACCTACCTTGGCCACCGAGACTTGCAGATGGGAACAGGGCTTGAGCAACACTGACGATTTTAATTGCTGATTAAAGGTGCGTGCCTGGCGCGACAACAACAGATAAACAACTACAAACACGCAAGCATGTCGCCTAGAATATTTCCTGTGCATGCTAAAATAACTAGAATCGGGGAAAAAATGTGTGAATTAATCAATACCTGATCTGCTTAATAGCAATGTAAGTGCATACAGAATAGCACCGAATATTTGAATGAGGTATGGGCGTTATCTAAGCCTGCTGTGGAATATGGGTGAATGGTTGAGCTTGGTGATAATTCCTGGAAACGTTCACGTAATGGTTGGTGCGTGTGTTGATTTAGCATCTCCGTCATGGTTATTGGGAGTATTGAGTTTTAAAAAACAAGTCCATTATCAGTATCAGGTTTCTCCTTGTTTGTTAGAATCGTGTATATCATTATATACTACTCACACTTTGATCAGGATCACAAAAATTCACAATTTTACTTAAACGTAGATATTTAATTTGAAATTGTATCCATTTAAAACTGAATAAATAATGAAATGGTATCTCCTCTTTAGGCAAACAGCCACTTTAATCTAACCTTATGTACTTGATACATGAGTAACCGTGGTTTTCATGGCACCAAGCAACCATTTTGCAAATCATGGAACGAGTTATTGACAAATAAACAACACCTGTCAATAGCATAGCATCCACAAGATGCAGTGACATACTGAAACCAAGGATACATGCTAACAATAAGCTGAGATATTTTAACCAAATTAGACCCCACATCATAGTTTTCTGTTGAATCAATGATTTGATCTTCAGCAAAGTGTGAATAGTATATGTATTACGCGACAAACGTGGATGTCGTTCAACCACAGAGGTGACATATATGCCAGTGGTTAAACATCTGATTTTTTAAAAACAAACAGTAGTATAGGGAATCACGTATATCATTATATCTTATGCGACAAACGTGGATGTCATTCAACCACAGAGGTGACATATACGACAGTGGTTAAACATCTGATTTTTTTAAGAACAAATTGTTTGATGCTGCACTCAGCAATATTCCAGCTGTACGGTGAGTGCATGTGAGTGAGTATGGTTTTACGCCGCCTTTAGCAATATTCCAGCAATATCACAGCGGGGGACACCAGAAACGGGCTTCACACATTGCACCCATGTGGGGAATCGAACCCGGATCTTCGGCGTGACGGGCGAACGATTGAACCACTAGGCTACCCCACCGTCCCCTAAACTTGTTTTGGATGTTAAAATATTTCATATTCACTTGTCATGTCACGTGTCCCCTTGATGGAGAGTTTTCCAGGCATTTAAAAAATAATAATCCATAAGCCAGTTATGTTGACGAACCATGTGGGGAATCGAACCCGGGTCTTCCGTGACGAATGGACTCTTTAACCATTAGGCTACCTCACCGCCCTGCCAGCTATCCATTGTTACAATGGAAACATATTGTAATTGTGCGATTTCACTCGTTAGGTTGACATTGAAAAAACATTTGTCGTGATAGACGTTGACGTTAACAACATTGAGAGATACCTTCGACGGGATGGTCCATGCTAAGTTTCAGCACTGTTGGCCAAATGGATCAGAAGAAAATAGCAAAACATCTTTCAGTCTTATCAGACATTCAAAACGCGTGGGTGGCACATCAAACACCAAGGTAAAGCCAATATATCAATCGCTTCTACCATAGGGACAAGTATAGAAAAAACACACTTCGCCAAAGAGAGTCTGACTTCTTTTAAAGCTCAATGTCCCCATGACCTTGCATGGTGAAGGTTAAAACCGACGGCGGTTGACTGGACACTGAACGAAGCGTTCGTATCATATGAGAGCGAGTGCGTGAGTTAGGTTTTACGCCGGTTTTAGCAATATTCCTGCAATATCACGGTAGGGGACACCAGAAATGGGTTTCACACATTGCACCAATGTTTGGAATCGAACCCGGGCCTTCGGCTTATCGAGCGAATGCTTTAACCTCCGGGCTACCCTATAACAAATGCAGCTTGTGTCTTCTGTATCGGAAGCATGACATCACTGATAGTAACCGTCCTCGTGACTGGACACCGTAAATGATAGAGTTGCACAACAAATTGATGAAGACTGATGTGGCAAAATGTTTCTCAACCGGCTAACGATTTATCGATGCAGTGCACTGACAATTGTACATATTCCAACAAATGCACCTACCTCTCCCATGGTGGACTCCGATACACACAGAGTGTTCACGTGTAATTGGTTGTGATAATGTCTGTACTATAGAAGGGCACTACCGCTCTTAAGTACAGATCACAGAGGAAAATACGGACGTTCCACCAACCTACAACCTCAACAGAACCAATACTGATAATTTTAATTGATAATTAAAGATGCTTGTTGGCTCGGCATCAACGGATAACTATAAACACGCAAGCATGTCGAATTTAACATTTTCGATGCCTGCTTAAAAGCAAAATTAATCCATACCCGATACGCTCACAGATGGGACCAGTGAAGTTCCGGGTTAGATTTGATCTTCAGTAACCCGTGCTTGTTGTAAGAGGCGACTAACGGGATAATCACTGGATTGTCTGGTCCAGACATGATTATTTACAGACCGCCGCCATATAGCTGGAATATTGCTGAGTGCGGCGTAAAACTAATCTCACTCACTCACTCACATGCAACCTTAAGTGCTTACGAAATAGCGACAAATTCGGGCTGAGATTAGAGCGTGTTACAATCCTGTTGTTCAACGAGGGTGAGTGGTCAGGGTAATAGCTTCAGAAAATCAGGGCTAAATAGTCATTGTGTTGCGTTGACTTTAAATCTCTCTTATCAGTAGAAAGGTGAATCAGCCGATTATCACGCGTGTTTGATGAACGCTATATGTCAAACCCTTTCTGGAGTTAAATTTCACGTTTGGCAAAAAATCAGCGGGTATCTGATGAAACTTAATTACTTAGTCGGCGTGTATTGGGTATAGAGTTAATCAACTGTGTTTGCTTTATGTTAAAAAATACCACATTTGGAAAATGTATGTAAATCACACAAAATGAAAGAAAAACGTTAGAGATTTGCAGGACAATTACTCAAACCTGTTTGGTGTTTATCTCGAATGTAAGCTTGCAACAAATATTTTTGAAAGGAACTCAGCCTAAACATTTGGCCATATTTTTATACAAAAGAGAAGTTACGAATGGGAATGAGCACAATTAGCCAAGTAATGTAGTTATAGTCCTACGTAGGTAAACTGAAGAACAATCATCATATATGAGGACTTCCCAAACATCTTTGCTCAAAACATATTAAACGAATGGATTGCTAAAAGCCCCAATAGGATGAAAACTTGGGTTTAATTGACACAGATGTGTTTTGTAATACAAAAAAATATTGGATCCTAATTACTATTGACAGGAACATGTAAAAAACGCATGGCGTGATTGCTGTTATATTGCGAGCAATGGTTGCGAGTGCGAGTGGTTGATAATATGAACAGCAGCCGTCCCAAACTGTCTGCGCATGGCACATTGCCAACCACATTACCTGTCAGGGTCCGGTTCCACAAAGCGATCTCAGCTCTAAGGTGATCGTAACTCGCATACATTTACATTGACTGAGCTCTGTGGAATGGGAACATCAATGTATGATGTAAATTATCTTTCCTCACACATAAATGTTTTCTGATTGGCTGAGCCAATGAATGTACCCCGCTTACAAGCGAGTAACATTTTCTATGTTACCCGTTGGAAATGCCGAACTGTGGGCATTCGTTTGGTACTTCGTGTTTGTAGAATTTGGGCTGTTGCCTAACTCCGGTACTCCTTATTATGGTCCAATACCCGTGCTTCAAACAGTTCAAAATTAACATTGAGGTGTTCGATAAGATAAATACTGGTTCACTGGTCCCCCCTCGCCCTTCGGGCGCAAAGAACATAAACAAACATAGAGGGTACATCAACCCATGCCCCCCTCGTGACCAGTGAACAACTTTTAATGTACAATCATGTATAATTGTGCACTTTCACTGCGAGCTACTAGATCCCATTAGTATATAATGCCTGGAATGCCGAGGAAGGGTTGAGCAGTACATTTTCTGTTTTAGGCAAGAAGAAGAAGGATCCAGCACCAAATACATACGACGTCGGCAGCACCATCGGCAAAGCTGTTGCAATCTCCATCACCGGCAGGAGGAAAGAACACCCAAAAAGTAAGCCATACTAATAAACAGATTGCCTTTGTGTCAGAATCAGGAAAAGAAAAAAATATCACCAGAAAAGTACGTTTATAACGAACATCTCTTATAACGAACTGACTGATGTTACAAAGTGTTCCTTTGGCCACGGTCACTTGCTGTGTAAATAAGTCGAACAGCGTATAACGAACGACGGTTCTCACAAATGATCCTCTGAGTTTGTTACAACCGTATTTACTGTAATTACAAGAGGACGGTATAAGCTATCGGTGCACTTAAAACTAAACTGATTAATATCAGGAATAAATTGAACAGTGCTAATATTGAGGTACTTGTAAAGCAAGCACAATCCAAGCACATTACGCACTACTAGGATACTCTGTTTTCCTTCACACCAAGGCATCCAGAAGGCCGGACCGTCATCCAACGCCTATACGCTCAAGACGTCGTTTGATTCTAACTTCAAGGCCGCTACAATGGCCTACCGCTGGTTTGACGTCAATGGTAAGTCTGGCACCGGAAGTTCAATTACTTCATTTGTGTGGAAAGCCGCCTTTGATAGAATGAGGTAGGACTGAGCCAGGGCGACCATATCCATCACTATTTCTTTCCATATAATTGACATGTTTCAACATTTCCACTGTAGATAATATATCGTTATAGAGCGACCCTAACCATCACTATTTCTTTCAATATAATTGACGTGTTTGACCTTTTCCACTATTTCCGCTGTAGATACTATATCGTTATAGGGCGGCCCTAACTTTCACTGTTTCTTTCCATATAATTGACCTGTTTTATAATCTTCGGTGATCATTTCCTCTCTTTGCACAATATACAATTATCTTTAAACGGTGCTGTATCTTTATACAGTGAACCCTCGGTAACCCGGAAATCTAGGTTTCTGCACGAAACGTGTCTGTCTGGGAGCTTCTGAATGCATGTGTCTGCGTGTGTCCGTGCGTGCATGTGATTGGCAGGTCAGGTATATGTTTATATTTCAGCTTTCTTGGCCACCATCCTTCATCTGCGAAGGCACACTGTACACAATATGACATTCATTTTCCCCTATTTTAATGATTCCTGGAGGTATTACAGACATAAACCCGTTTTAATCGAGTTTTATTGTTACTATCTAAGAGACTGGGGCGGTATTCTAAAAAAGTCCTCAAAACGGTTACTTCTTGGACGGTAAATTCTTCTATTGGCATGTCTGGCGGCCATTTTTGTCAACTGACTTAAGTTACATACATAGAGTTAAGCCTAGCCAACAGCAGGCTTAGGACTTAAGTCGAAAATTACACAAACTTAAGTCTAATACTTTTTGTGAATATGACTAAGAAAAAACATAAGTCTTAAGTCAAAACTTAAGTTTTATTTGGAACTTAAGTCATTTTTTAGACTTAAGTCCTTTTAAGAATACCGCCCCTGGAAAACAGGATTTAGGAGAATAACCCAATATCCAGGCCTGAAGTTACTGTTAATGTAAGTCATTATAGAAAGGTAAAATTGAACAAAATTTATATTCATTTTGGATTTACGTTAAAGAGGGCTCGTTTCTAACATAAACATAGCCTCGTATGGATCGATGTCCGTAAACCTGAACAGTTTAACTGAGAGCGTATTTAATACAAGAGTGAGTGAGTGAGTAAGGAAGTATGGTTTTACTCTGCTTGTAGCAATATTCCAGCAGTATCATGGCGGGGGACACCGGAAATGGGCTTCACACATTGTACTCATGTGGGGAATCGAACCCGGGCCTTTGGTGTGACGATCGGACGCTTTAACCAATAGGCTACCCCACAACCCGTTCAATAAAAGAGATTCCACTGAACAAAGCGGTATCTATCAGCGTCTTCTACGTGCCTGTGAATTTCTTCAAAAGCAGTAGTCCGGAGTTAACTCCAACGTCCAGATAACATACCCTTAATTAACTGAAATACTGCCCAAGGGGCACTGAACGCCTGCCACTAGAGGGAAAAGGTGGTTGTCATTCTAGGATCTGTGTACGTGGGCAACGAAAAAGTAAAATCCATAGCATCTGGCGACTGTCCGCCGTCTGTCCACGTCCTGTTTTCACATTTCCTGATAAAATATTGAATATTGATACCTGTTACGTTAATATGTTGCATCGATCTCTCATAAAGAGATAGCTCAAACCAGTGGTATCAATTCAGTCAAAAGTTCACATGTCTGAAGTTGGTCTTGGAGTGGTAAACAGATGTCATGTTCGACACAGAGATAAGACTCTTCTGAGGTCAGGTACCTGTTGCTGTATCACATTTTGCTACAGAGTTGTGATGAACAATTTATTTCCCTGAGAGAGAAACAATTATTTAGGGCCACAAGATACATTTGTGTAAATAATATATATAATTTATGAACCTAGAGCAAAATAGTTTTGTTCATGTAGTCCCACTGATCGGGCTATTGTTATTCAAACATTTTAATATCTACTTGAATGACGAACTCAGTTTAGATTTGTTTGTTTGTTGTTTAACGCCGCAATCAGCAATATTCCAGCAATATGGCGGTGGTCTGTAAAGGAGGGGAGGGGAGGGCATGAAGAAATGTAACACACGCGGTCTGTAAATAATCGAGTCTGGTCCAGACAATCCAGTGATCAACAGCATGAGCATCGATCGACGCAACTGAGATACGATGACATGTGTCAACCAAGTCAGCGAGCCTGACCACGATCCCGTTAGTCGCCTCATACTACAAGCATGGGTTCCTGAAGACCTTTTCTGATCTGATCTTGATGGTGCCGCGTTTGTGGTTTAATCTTCACGGGTCAGCCCAACTTAGGAATGAGGAATTATTTTTCTGGATTTCTAGCTGCCGCTATAACAGGCAGGACTTCAACGACTGGATGTACAGAGATGCTTCATAGATCTCTTTTGTCAAGTAATTTGCACTGAGTGTTGATCCTTGCAGCAGCGCATTCATTCTTTCGCTACATTTGAAAACGTCAATAACCTTTTTTGTACTCAGCAGCATCCGTCCGTACGTCCGTCCGTACGTACGTCCGATTCTTGTTAACGCGATATCTCATGAACTGTTGTACCCAGTGTCTTCAAATTTGATGACAGCCTACATTGGAGGATTACCCAGACACCAGTCAATTTGGGTGACCTTCACCTTATCTTCAAGGTCACCACGACACTTTGGCCACTTTTCAAACTCTTGTTAACGCGATATCTCATGAACTGTTGCACCCAATGTCTTCAAATTTGGTGACAGTCAACATTGGAGGATTACCCAGACACCAAGTCGATTTGGGTGGCCTTGATCTTATTTTCAAGGTCACCACGACACTTTGGCCACTTTTCAAACTCTTGTTAACGCGATATCTCAAGCACTGTTGTACGCAATGTCTTCAAATTTGGTGACAGCCTACATTGGGGAATTACCCAGACACCAGTCAAATTGGGTGACCTTATCTTCAAACTTATGTAAACACGGTAGCTCATGAAACGTTCCACCCAATGTCTTCAATTATGTCGACAGCCTACATTGGGTGATTATGCAGACACCCGTCATTTCAGGCATCTTGTATGTGACCATAAAATAAAAGGTATTAAATATGTTATAAATATTCCATTCTTTAGCGGCGAACCCATTCTTGTCATAAAAGGCGACTATGCCTTTCGTAAAAGGCGACTAACGGGATCGGGTGGTCAGGCTCGCTGACTTGGTTGACACACATGTCATCGGATCCCAATTGCGCAGATCGATGCTCATGCTGTTGATCACTGGATTGTCTGGTCCAGACTCGATTATTTACAGACCACCGCCATATAGCTGGAATATTGCTGAGTGTGGCGTAAAACTAAACTCACTCACTCACTCTTTAGCGGCGGGGGACATTGCCATATCAGTGGCAAACACTTGTCTACTTTGACCTATTATACCGGTAAGCAGTGCATGCCTAACATGTCCACGTATACCTCTGGGTATCACTGAGTTTCAGTGATTCGATCATATCATTTTCATCGCTATTCTGCCTTTATTTTGACCAAATACACGCTGAAATATATGTTTAAAACAAGGTTTTAAACCAAACATACTCAAATTTAATCTTCGACGCAGGTAAAATTGGACCGGTGAAGGTCACGTTATGGCTGATGGTGGCAAACGACCTTGACCCCTACAAGTGTCATAGTGAGTCAGATATGTATCATGTGCAAAACGATTGGCCTCTGAGCACACTATAAACACGTCAGTTCTACGACAGATGGCCTCTTATGAGAATGTTATTTTAAAATTGATCGGATACGGACGATTTGATTCATATCTAGTCTAGTGTTATCACCATGGAAGCTGCCACTCACTATCACAGCGTCTGTACTGACACATTCGACGCACCTGGTGTTCATTGGGGACTAAAGATAACAGCTCTAAAAACTGCTGATACTATCCTAAATGATGTCTGTAGATACCAAAACAACGATTATAACATGCCTCACACCTCTGTCATATTTGCAATATTTGCAAATGCGAATTGTTCATCAATTGTGATGAGACTGTGTGATGTACACATATGCTGTGTGATGTACACATGTACAACATGGTGATTATTGTTCCTGAACAACCTGAGACTGTGTGATGTACACATATGCTGGGTGATTATTGTTCCTGAACAACTTGAGACTGTGTGATGTACACATATGCTTGGTGATTATTGTTCCTGAACAACCTGAGACTGTGTGATGTACACATATGCTTGGTGATTATTGTTCCTGAACAACTTGAGACTGTGTGATGTACACATATGCTGGATGATTATTGTTCCTGAACAACCTGAGACTGTGTGATGTACATAACATATGCTGGATGATTATTGTTCCTGAACAACTTGAGACTGTGTGATGTACACATATGCTGGGTGATGATTGTTCCTGAACAATTTGAGACTGTGTGATGTACACATATGCTGGGTGATGATTGTTCCTGAACAACTTGAGACTGTGTGATGTACACATATGCTGGGTGATTATTGTTCCTGAACAACCTGAGACTGTGTGATGTACACATATGCTCGGTGATCATTGTTCCTGAACAACCTGAGACTGTGTGATGTACACATATGCTGGGTGATTATTGTTCCTGAACAACCTGAGACTGTGTGATGTACACATATGCTGACCAACCTGATGTACCATTGTTGTTCCTGAACAACTTGAGACTGTGTGATGTACACATATGCTCGGTGACCATGGTTCCTGAACAACATAAGCCAATATATATTCTCTGTGAGTATAGCTACTAAACAATCTGAAACTACTTGATGTGCTGTCCCGAAAGTGATTCATAGCAAATACTATTACCCATATGGTGAAACATAAGCAGCGTCATATATATCACATGTGCACATATCACTTTTGCCTAGCAACCATTGTTTCCGTATTAAACAATTGAACTTGGCGTCAATGACGAGGGCCGTCACACTTGCTTACCGTGTTTTACTGCACAAATGTACCTGAATAAAATGGATAATAAAGAAATTATTACATTACGAGCAGGTGAAACATAAGTGTCACTTATATATCAAACCGTGCAAAATCACTTTTATGACACCGCTCTTGTTCGGGCGATACAAACCGTGTTTTACACACAAACAAGTGTGTCACACTCGTTTCGTATAAGTCGTATGACACACTTGGCCGTGTAATAATCTCTATGTATGTTATATGTAGACATTATATTACATATGCCATCTCGTTTCAGCTCCCATGGAGCCCGGCCCTACCGACTATAACGTTCATCACGTGACCCTGAAGAGCCCAGAATTCACCTGTAGACGGCGCTGCAAGGCATCGTATCCGGACTCGCTGAACTACGTCACGAAATGTAAGTTACATGCAACACGAGTCGGTTCCTTCAGGACACCCATCAATCCTGGTTTCCAGTATTCAAAACAATAGGAGTTGTCACGGATGCCTCAGGCCATGGTGCTATTGGAACGACGACTAACAGCACGTTCTGCCTCTGCAAGGGTTGTTGGCACAATTCGAGCTGACATAAATACAAATTATTCAAGCTAGTTGCCCTCAACGCAGTAATGATTTACTGAAAAGCGGAACCAGGTATTTGGCGAGGGATGTAATATACATGTAGTCTCGTCTAAATACTTGGTGAATTATGGCATTTGCAAACTCGACACCAGCCGACACATGTTCAATATACGGGACTGGTGGTGAAATTATAGAACGGGATCAGTAACAGATCACAGAAAACGATGGGCGTCGCTACATTGTGTCACAACTGTAGTGAGTGTGAGTGAGTGAGTATGGTTTTACGCCGCTTTTAGCAATATTACAGCAATATCACGGCGGAGGACATCAGAAATGGGCTTCACACATTTTACCCATGTGGGGAATCGAACCCGGGTCTTCGGCGTGACGAGCAAACGCTTTAACCACTAGGCTACCCCACCGAGGGAGGGGAGGGTATGAAGTAACGAAACAAAGCGGTCTGTAAATAGCATCGATCTACGCAATTGGGACACGATGACATGCGTCAACCAAGTCAGTGACACTGACCACCCGATCCCGTTAGTCGCCTCTTACAACAAGCATGGGTTACTGAAGACCAATTCCAACCCGGATCATCACGGGTCAGGTTACATGTAATTTGGGATGCTACAAATGTCACTTAAAATGGGGCGGGGGCAGGGGGGTTCAGATAGATGTGAGTTACATTCACTTTGTACCAAACGAAACCACAATTATACTTCACATATCGTTTATGTGAAATGGACTTCATACATACATACCAATATCACTTAAGCGTTTCGATTTACATCAGATTTTATGGGTATTATATTAAGTGCCATTTAAACAGGTGACTGGATAGTTGAACCAAATATTCCGTCATCTTTTTGTTCATTATAAGCCCTTGTTTAAGTGATAAGGACACCTGCAACAACAACAACTACAAAGTCTGTGAGTTTTTTTCAAGTCCAGAAAGCGATTTCCTGTAGTCATGGTTACACACTGGTCAACAAGGTTCGTGACCATAGCCGCACAAGTCAGGACGACACGGTATCAGTTCCTAACACTCTAGCTTTGACCTTCTCACTGGCTCGCTAGCCCCAGACTACTAATATGTACCGAGGACTATTACAAATCCAGTGATGGTAGTTCGGATAGATCAATGACTTTAAAGCAGCGATTCTTTACATATTCTCTTCTTTGTCTTTGAGAATTCAAATAGAGAGGTACAATGAAGTAAATTTAGCAGTAAATTTCTGGAATAGTCGAAAAACGATTTTCTATGGTTACATAAGCGATGTGGGCCGCTTGCATAACAATATAATTATAATTCTACAGAAGTAACAATCCCGGTGAAATTGCGCGTGGGCGTCTTCAAGTAGATATTGAGGTCGTTTGCGGCGTCGCAATGAAGAAACCAGATTATTAAAAACAGTTTGTAAGGATGTTGTCCGAATGTCAACCAAAGATTTGCCCAACTGAGCTAGCGTTTTATCCGCTAGTTGTGATCCTGTCGTAGGCGTTACCATCTAGTGCAAGACGTGATATATCTGAGCGGTCTGGAGAAACAGTCGAGAACATCAATGTTACGCGACCTTAATAATGGCTTTTAAATAAAACATGTGGGAGAACATAGTCCTGCTTCAGCCTGGCGTTACATCCCTTCAATTGCTCAAAGAATAGAACTAATCGTCCCGGTAGCGTCAGCCATTCAATTTGCCATTACCAGCTCATGTGTTGTGTTGTGTTTGCTCATGATTTGTGATCACACGATTACACTTCCACCCACGCTTCGACGGCGGTAAAGAAAGCTTCGCTAAAATGCTTGACTCTTGTAGGCCCTTCATTGCCATCAGAGGGAGTGAGTGAGTGAGTTTAGTTTTACGCCGCACTCAGCAATATTCCAGCTTTATGGCGGTGGTCTATAAATAATCGAGTCTGGACCAGACAATCCAGTGATCAACAGCATGAGCATCGATTTGCGCAATTGGGAACCGATGGTATGTGTCAACCAAGTCAGCGAGCCTGACCACCAGATCCCGTTAGTCGCCTCTTACGACAAGCATAGCCTCCTTTTGTGGCATGAATGGGTTGCTGAAGACCTATTCTACCCCGGATCTTCACGGGTACACGGCCATAAGAGGAAACATGGACCCTGTGAAAAGTACAGTGTATACCGTCCCAGTGTTATATTCTGAATCTCAGATATTGACGTGCCTGACGGTGACGTCGAAGCGAAATGTGACTGTCGCTGGACGTTGTGCCCGGGGCATCTATTCCCTGAACTGGGTCTTCGGCATGACGAGCGAACGCTTAAACCACTGGGGTACACCACCTCTCCCTGCTCTTTAGATAAGGTCTCTAAAGAAACTGTTTTGTGTCTTGATGAAATTTATAATGATTTTTCATTGAGTAACATTATCAAAAGCGGATTATAATTATTCACAGTTTGTGTGAATCACCTATTTATTGAGGAAACAATTAAGTCTTTAAAAAATTGCTGGATACAATTATTGTTTAATTATTACATCAAACATGATAACAAGATATGACAAAGAGATTTATTTGTTTTGTTGAAAACGCTGTCAGTCTAAGTTGATTGTTTATGCCAAACACCCTGATCGATACATGTATTTCCCCCTCCCAAAGGAAACATAAAGCATATTTGTATGGTAACCTTAAACGCACTGACACAGAGGGAGGCAAACCCCATTCTGTAATCATTGACGAAATGATCACTTATGATTGGTTGAAAACAATGTCGACTCGACGCAGTTTAATTACACCACGCTCACTGAGTGTTTCTGGGCCCTGCCCATCCTCGTTACTAAGGGCTTATTTTTTCCTCTTATCCTTGTTTTTTTCAGAGCGGTTTGAGAGGGCCATGATGCATTTTGTCTCATTCGTCACCACTCCATACTTCACTTGTTGTTTTGCACTCTGCAGTATTCCAGCTGTATGGCGGCGGTCTGTAAATATCGAATCTGGACCAGATAATCCAGTGATCAACATCATAAGCGTCGATCTACGCAATCGAAATTACACGAGTTCTTCGCGAATACTGGAGTCAAAGTGTATGAAAACCTGTCCAACGTATAGACACACCCACCTACATCCGTAAAACATACACTTACATCCCCGAAATAATCTGATACAGTACTTTGATATATTGTAAGAAAAATTCGAAGTTCAACTATAATTTCGAAGCAGTGTGATTTTACATGTATACAATACACAGCTTCTTTCCGAAAAAAATGTTTCTGAAAACTGTTATATTTAGGTTTAAACGGATTAATCAAAACCATGAATTTGTACATTTGCCATTGTAATTTTTATTCGAAATGACACGACGGTGATCAAATAAGGAGCAGTCCGTCGACGCCAGGCAGGGTACCAACAAGTACCATCTAACGTTTTTGCTTTAAGGCTGCCAGACTATGGAACCACCAATCCACCGCCATCTTGCACTATACCCTGTATGGGCTCTGATCAAATTACTCTCGTGTACGAGAGATATCATACCGTGATCATACTTCTGTGCGATTTTTTTTTTATGATCACGTTCACATTATCCTTAATTGTGTTTATTTGTGTATAGATTACAGCCGCACTCCGCCAAATACCAGCTGCATGACGATATCCTGTAAACAACCGAGTCTACACTAGTCAACACTGTGATTGATATCATGAGCAAACACCCATATCGCCGGGCTAACGTGGCGTGCATTCAACTGATCTGTAGTAGGTCCAGGGAAATTACTGTAATACGCACCTGGATGACCGAGGATGTCCAGGAATTCGGAACGATCAATATAACACTTTCCAAGTCCACAAAGGCCAGCGCAGGATAAACCCGTAGGTGTAGATTTACCCAACAGAAGTAAATATTTTGCAGTTATTAAGTGATTTCAAATAGAAAAATAATCCGTTTTCATATTACGAGCTTGAACCATTGCCGTACTTGTCGAAAAGTTTTGGTTTTAAGCTGTTAAGGAAAAATATCCATCTTAGTTTGTTTGTTTTTTCACATTTTTTGCAAAGAAATCAAAATTAATTCGAAAGAACATAATCCCGTCTGACGTCAACCGGAAGGCACAGATGGCCTCGCGTTGTCTCGCGAGATCGATCCCTTTAAATGCTGTTTGATCTTTCGTAGGATTAACCATGACGTTATGCAGATTCCAGTTGTTAAAACAAATCTCATCTCTTCAAGATTACTCTCCCGAGATCTGCTTGTCTAGATAAATCAGTAACACCATTGGACACACAGTAAAGGATTGTCCAATGTTATTTGTAATTTCTTCCTTCTTGTGTCCACGCAGTTATTTACGTGGTGAACTTAGAGAGGTTTGTCTATATTTAACAAGGATGTGATTCAGTTAGGTACTTCCTGGAAGAATTTTGATATACGACATAAATCGTTTAAACTTCACAAAATTATGAGCAATTTGCAATTTCTTGTCGCTGTGGCCAATAGTTTTGTATCAAGATGTGCCAGTTTAACGTTGACCAAAAGGGAGGTAATGCAGGTTGTAGATGCACACGTACCACTATAAGGTGAAACCCACGAGCGAGGTGTATTGTACTTACATCCAATTATCGTAATTGATCCTGATCCTGACACGACTAAGGGAAGCAATTATGTACAGCGAATTGTTACTCTTCAGACCACTGGGCCTCTGGCATTGAAATCTGTTCACCTACAATTAAAACCACCCGAGCTTCAAACTCATTATGAAGTTCCGTAGCGCTAAGGTAATCGTAACTCTATACATTAACATATACTTATGACTGTCATTACGCTACGATCGCTTTGTGGAACGAGGACCAGGGCCCTTATTCTCGTTCGTAGCCCTA